GCCTGCGATATTCGAAGAAATTTAGCCTTGGGCTCCACTTGCTGCTTGGGTGCTCATCCAACCTGCACAAAGGACCAGACAGAAAGAGAACTGTTCAAGAAAATGAAAGTGAGGTTTCCTGGCTGCTCTCTCCCATCTCCCTCCTGGACCCAAAGTTTTGGGGGATAACCTCTATTTGCATGTGACTGATACTGCGCAAAGCATCCACCCCAGTCTCAAGACAGATCATCCACCACCCCACTCACAACGTAACCTTGCCATTCCAGAAGAGAAGTAATGAACCGCATCCAACCCAAACCAGGCAACTATTTCAGCCGCCTCCCTCCCCACCCCAAACACCAGGAGGGAAAATACCAAAGCTTCAGTCTTTTACCTGAACGCATATGTCTCGCTGACGCCACAGGGCAGGATCTTCCCATGAGGCAAGAAGGGGGCAGTGACTCTCAGGCCAGCTCCTTCCAAGATCACATCATGTGGAGAAGGTTGACGTCCCCCTCGATCCAGACGATAATCAAAGGAGAGCGTCTGGCCATAGCTCAGCTGCTGGTTCCCCAGAAATCTTGCTGACAAGGGAGAGAGCAAGAGAGCAGAGGGAAGAAATTAAAGGCTTAAAATCTCCCCCTCTTCCTGAAGGCTCTGTTAACGGAGTCAAACCAAGCAAAGGGAGCAGGTGATGCCATCTGTGCCATCTGCCACCATCCTCACCTGTCTCAGGAGATGAACGCAGACACCTCCCTTCCCCAGAACAAGCCTTCTGGTCTGTCTGGTCACATACTAGACCAGGAAACCCAGACCCAGGAAAGTACATCTACAGCTCCTTTTCCCTGGACAACAGCCAGTGGCACCTCAGCTTCCCCTGACCGACAGGGAGAGCTGTCTGTCCAGACCCCAGGCCCCAAGCTCTTCCCTTGAAATCAGGCTCTAGCCCAACCCATCCCACCCCCAAAACTGACTCTAGCGGCATCACCCCAAAAAGGGCAATTCCTTCCTGCCAGCTAGTATATGCCAAGGGCTAGTCAGCAGAGCCAGGTTGAACAGCTATTTAGACCTTATCGGGTGAATTTTCAATTGAGTTTCAAGACCTGGCAAGGTGGCAGTGCATCAGCCTAAAGAAGCAGGTCTGGGCTCAAGTCGATTTTCCTGTGTGATGCTCTCCCCATCATCTGTTCCCCTACATGCATCCGATAAACTCACACCTACCAGGTGCCATGAAATATATAGGTTCTGATGTCCTTGCTGCGATAAACACGTCCTGATGGCGTGGAGACCACTGGAGCTGGGCTGGTGACCCACCTTCATGGACACCTCTCCAGCCTTCAGCACCTACAATGCAAACAAGGAGAAACCCACCTGCAGTCAGCAGAGAGAGGCAAGGGCATTGCCAGGATTGTAAGGGCAGCGTCTTTCTCAAGCTGCATCTCATCAAAACTTGTGGCCCCCTATCCCTTGCCCACTGAGAGGGTAGCACTGCTCCCCTCCCTGGTTGGGCAGATACATCTAACAGTGATCAGTTATGGTCTTCACAGTCTACCCGGCTCTTCTTCCAGATATCTCAGGATACTACACTCTCCCTGCCCTTGCACCCTGTTTCTGCCTATGATCAGCAATTCATCCCACAAACAACTTATGTCAAAGAACAGACGCTCCTCTCACAGGGCTATAACCAGATGGTTCTCCAAGTCAAAGACAATATGCAACTGAATTAAAACCCCCTTCAGCTCTGTTTCGCCTGTGGTCTCGTAAACGTTCTCAGCTGAGCCCAACCCACAGCTGGCAGAACACAGCAGCGAGCCCACCGACTGCACATGCTCACGCTCGCCAGTCCACATCCCCACAGCGCGCATATCCGAAAGGTGGCAACGGCAACTGCATGAAAAGCTGAATACTTGATGGTGTCTCAAGCACCAGGTGAAGTGCTCCCTAAATATTTCAGGAAAACGCACACAGTGCAAGGAGGAAAAGTATGTCAAGTGCCTCATGAGGCAGAGCTGCCGTGGAGGGATCATTTGCAACAGTGACACTACTCAACGGCTCGTTCTGTTACACTCTTGCATCAGAGTTTTCAATATCTCTGTCCCTTTCTCGGGGGAATTTGAAGGAATTGCAAACACTCCTTCATGCACAAAACCAGGAGCTGTATGGATGCTCCGTTGGGCTTTACCTTGCTGGAAGGTGGAGGTGATTTTATAGACGCTGTAATTCTCAGAACTGACACACGCAGCTGAGTGCCCGTAGCAAAAGCACGGGGAACATCCCGCAGGATTTCTCGCATCCAAGTTATAGAAGTTTTGCCTGCACCTGGAGAAAAGGTTACTATGTTTAGTGTCTATTTTCTCCTCTTCTTCCAATACGCAGTGCCATGGGCCAAACCACACAAAACTACGTACAACACAGCAAACCCAAAGGTGGCTGTGCACACAGCTGTTGCCACGTTTGAAACCCCACTGTTGGACTGGGGTAGCAATACAGGTCCCGCAGGCACTGAGCTGTGGTGAGATGGCTTTCATCTCCTAGTGGCTACCTGTGAAAGGTGCAGATGCCACAGTGGGTGCTGGGCCCTCTGGCTCTCCTTTAGGGTGCCCCATCCCACTTCATGCCATGCAGCTCTGCTCCCAAAAAGGATTAATAGTAGCTTTCTGCTAGGTGTACGTGGGGTGCTAGGATTAAATTGCAGAAATAAGCCCTGGAGACACTTCCTCCACATTAGTAGCAAGCGAGAGGAATGTTTCTTAGCCTCCTCCCTATGCAGCCAAGCCCCATAGTTTGTGCGTGGCAGAAGGTCACTGTCAGGCACCAGGATGCCGCTTGAGGCAGCCACCGAAGGGAAGGGCAGAGCTGAGATGGGAATGGTGGAAAGCCTTAGGGCTACTGGCGGCCCTTGAAAGCAAGGAATCGGGCACACTGCACTTCAGACAGACGGGGGAGACGCATTTAGCCCATTCTGTTCCCTGGAGGCCCTAACAGGCCAAGCAAAAGACTTTGAGCCCAACGAGAAATCACTGCCAGGCAGATGGAGGACAAACCCCAGAGTGATTGGACAAGCTCTCATGACTCCCACCTGTCACATCGCTCTCCAGTTACGCTTGCCTTGCAGACACAGCGACCTGAGATGCAATCCCCGGTGCTCCCGGCTGGGTCACACTCGCATTGCGGACTCCTGCAACAGGGACAACAGAAATCTCCAGTTGATTTCCAGTTCAGCCTGGGAGCTCAACGCACCTCACACACTGATGGTACGAGACCTAGGAGAACCCCCAGTGGAGTGGCCAGCTATCAGTCCAGTCTTACAGGGAGGAAAAATCATCTGAGACATCTCTTTTAGTAACATACTTGCATTAAGTAGTATGGGTGCCAGGTTGAGATGGTGCCCAACATCTGATGCTACAGCCCCAGGACACCTCAGAGCGCTAGTTTGCAACCAACACAGTGCATCTCTTTAGCAAGACCCTCCTACGAGAATAAAATGAAGCTCTGCTGAGCTTATTAAACCTTGGCTGTGCTCCAAAGCCGTGCCCTGGGGAAGAGGCACAAGGCTCAGGAGAAAGGCAAGGCACAATAGCACTGCTTCTGGCAGACGCCCTTCGCCCCCGCCCTTTGCCTGCAGTCATCCTGCGCCTTTCACGCAGCAGCACTGTGGGTTCCCCAGCCAGGAGTGGGGAGGGCAGGGGGCACCCAGGAGCAGAGGGATGGCATGGGTCTGACAAAGCAAGGGTGGGGTGAAGAGAGGAGAAAGAGGACATGGCACTCGGGAGGCTGAATTAAAAACAGCTTTAAAGGTAAAAGAAGCTCCATTTAAACAAAGAAAGGGGTTCTGGTACAGACTCTTCACAATTTTCATAGGCGTGTGTTTGCACCAGGACAGTACTTACAAGTGACAACAACGCTGTGCAGCCACACGTGCGCAGCCAGGTTTTATTTCACATGGTCTAGCCCACCTGTTGCTTGTTTGTGCTATCCAGATAAAAAAACAACCACTTTGGAGCGCTGCTAAGCTCTTATTGCGATGATATTGCATGGCAGGGAGCTCTGCAGGCTGGAAAAGAGGTCCAATTTTCTAATTTCTGCCTCAGCCTGATCACTCCCAGAACGGCAGTGGGGTTAGGCTTATGCTTTTCAGTGGATTTGACAAGCGAAGCTGGAGAACCAGCTGCCGTTGCACAGGCCACTGTCAGCCAGCACTGCTCTTTAGAGCCACTGGGAAAGGTCTGGAGATCAGCCCTAGAGAATTAGCTTTCCACGCTCCAGCAGGACGACGCGGACGGTCGCCAGCACTTACTGCCCGTTTCTCTGGCACCCGGCCTCGGAGAGGGAGTGGAAGCCCGGCTGGCACTGGTCACACTTCTCGCCCATCACCCCGGGTTGGCAGCTGCACCGGCCGTCGTTATCGCACTGCGGGCTCAGGGCACCTACAGGGACAGGGAAGGAAGATTCAAACGTGCCCCATCCTGGCGACCCTCCGCCAGTGGCGATCTCTGCAGGACACGGGAGTAAACGCAGCACTCCACCATGGCCCTCTGGGCAATCGATGAAAAATTCAAATCTGATTTTATCACAGCTGATCTACTCACTTTGGGGGCTGACATATAAGGCAGCGACTGTGGGTGGTGGTCAGCTGGGAAGGGTTAACGTGCAGAGCGCCACCCTTGCTAGGACAGCACACACTTTCATTTCAACAGCTTCTCAGCCCCAGCCTCTAGTCCTCTCCCCCTGCCTGAGGTCACAGCGTGGGTCTAAGATACCAGGTCTTCCTGCTAAAATTCGCTCGGCCTCTCAGGCAGCTGCAGGAGACTGAGGTGATGAATGTCAGCCGGAATCGACTGCGTGCCCAGGCAGAGATCCTCTCCCCTACTATGAAGCCAGGGTCATTCCAAAGGACAAGGCAGATCCCAGAGAACGTAAAGCAAGCGGGGAATTTTTTTCTCCGTTGCTACGTCTACCACTGGTGTACGCTGATGCGTGACTTCACTTCAGTGCAGCTACAAGGATTTAAACGTCACATGGCCGAGGGCTGCGGCATTAAACGGCGCTTTCCCACGTGACACCAGTGTTATACCGTTCTCCTGACCTGGCAGGCTCCTTCTCTCCTGACCTACTACTGCGCAGACACAGAGGGCAGAGGATGCGAAAGCCCAGGGCACTGTCCCTATGGGTCAGCCCCCAGGCCCTTCTGCACCTAAGCACAGGGGACATCCAAAGTGATATTCTCCCTCCAGCAACTCAAAGCAACAGCAGCCTGTTGCTCTGCATTTCTTGTCCTACGTTTTTTTCTGTTCACAGGTGGTTCTAGTGATCCGCTTTCTATGTTGACAGAGAAATTTGCATTTCTACAGCATCTCAGTGCAGGAGTTACAAGCTATCTGCTTGCATAGCAAGCTGAGATCTGATGAGCGTGAAGCAGCTGTCTCTGTGGCAGTCATGTCTCACCACAAGATCCACGGAAAACACCTCAAAGCCGTAAAACCCATCTCTTATCACTGCAGTCTGCTGCATACGCTCCAGTCATTATTTCCTCTTAAAATTGCAGCAAAGAAGCAGCCAGTAGAGCTCAGGAGGCTAAAGCTTTTTTGTCTATCCCAAAGCGCAGCAGCACTTTGCATTACCTTGTGCCCTGAAGCACAACCCTAAACTCAGGAATTACCCTTTCACTGCTATGATGCAATCAGTAGCCTTTGTGGAGCCCATCAGACACTGCAGCACGGAAGTCATGGACCTGACTCATGAAGCTGGGTGAAAGCCTTAACTCCCTTCATTAGGGTTTGGCTACCCATCCTCTGTGATAAGGATACAAGCAGGGAGAGACTAGTAATTCCCTGCAGGGCAGCTCTCAGCTCGTATCAGCTCTGCTCATAGCAAAGCACTGAATCAGGCCTTGGGCAGCTCTGTCCTGGAAAGGCAGGTGGCACGGGGTGGAGGCGTAGGGAATAGTTTGGGGGTAGGTGCATCTGAAACCCTGGCTACAGTCTGCAGCTGCTCAGAGCTTTGAAACGCTCAACATCGTGGCCCAGGAGGGGCAGAGAGAGGGCAGAGCACTGAGCTGCAGCGGACCACCACTAGAAGTCACCTCTGCACCCACGTGGCCCTCAAGCTCTGAGCAGCTTTCAGGGCAGCTGGCTTTAACACACGCAGCAGCTGAAACGGGATGGCAGAAGGCTCCAAGACCCGTGGTACATCACACTAGCACACGTCAAGCTGGCCAACGCAAATACAAGCCAGACAAGGATTTCTTGATTGCCATAGTTCAGTCTCAAACACCGCCTCTTTAGCGTGGCGCTGCTTAAAAATAATGCTGACACCAGTTCCCCTTGAAAAGAGCAGAAACGGCAAAAGCCAGTGTCTGCCCCAAACCACCAGAGAGACTCATCAAATGCCATGCTGGTCCCTAAACCGCTCCCAAAGACTCATCTGGCAATGAGCTCTTCAGAAAACACCCAGGAGGGTGACAAACGCCTATGACTACCGCAACCACGTAACTCGGGGCCTCCACGAATAACCCCTCTTGGTGCTGAGCTGGCCTCAGCACATGATGCTGTGCAGAACTGGGGGTGACAGACCACCGCAGCCAGTATGTGAAGGCAAGGGTCCCACAGCACAGCTTTCCTAGGCCATCCTTCCTCTCTTGAATCCCACCTGCATGCCCTCTCTCCGGAGGAGGGGGGGTGATGGAGGGGTTACAGCAGAGCAACCCCACACTCCTGAGCTCCCTCAAAGCGCTGCTCAGCTGGCACCCGGCAGAGCAACTGTCCCAGACGCACCTGGCGATCACACACCACAGCTGGTGGCGTGTGAGGAGTACAGCTTGGGGTCCCTTTGCTTGGAGGGACCAGAATTAAGTGGGAATCCCAACACACAAGCGTTTTCAGCCCTCCGCAGCTTTGATCCAGTCTCTTCTCCTCCCACAGCCCACGTACCTTGGGGGTGGCAGAGGCAAGGCAGGCAGCAGTCCTCCTCCCGCTGGCGGAAGTACCCCTCCTTGCACCTCTCGCAGCGGGCGCCCTCCGTGTTGCCCAAGCAGTTGAGGCAGCGGTACCCGTTGCCCGTTTCTCTCAGAAGGTGCCAGTCAAAGACGCACTGTCGGGACATCCCGTTGCAGTCGCAGACTGGGAGGACGGACGGTGACAGCCCTGGTTAAATACAGGCAACGTTTAGACAGAAAGGTACCTGCCTGAGAAGCCAAAGCCTTCCAGTTATCCAGGGAACAAGCACAGGCAACGCAAACCTCCCCTTCTCGCTCTGCTGTAACGAGCCCCGTCCCATACCTGCGTTCACCGTCTTCCCCCACAGGCCCCAGAGCACCTCCATGCTTGCCAAGCACTCAGCTGCGCTGGCTCCTTGGAGCATGCATCTTGCTGAGAACGGCACTGAGGCTGCCCTAGAGAGATTTTTTCCAAGCCAAATGCCGAGGCTAGAGCTTGGCCTAAACGCACCATGTCGTTACTCCTAGCGCTTTGCTCCCAGTCATTTCCAGGACAAACGTGAGACCGAAGGGTGAAGTAAACTCGCGTCTTTAACATGCTTTACGTTTGTTCTGTACTTTAGAGCCGACTCTGACATACGGGAGCAGATGGAAGAGGAACCAGGTAACGGGAAAGCTGCCACGTGGAGCACAGCCCGCTGGATGGCTCAAAATGCTGCGTGGAGCTGGGAAACACAGCAGGGCCATCAGGCTGGAAGGGCTGCCCAGCCCTCCAAGTTGGGAGACGCTGCTGCAGGAGCTGGGGCTGGAAGCTGCTGAGCACCGGCTGCGGGCAGCCAGGAGAAAAAGCAGCAGGAGAGGCACACCCTGTCTTGCAATCCAAGCCTGTGAGCGGCGCGTTCAGAAATCGCTGTCCCTTCCCACCCGCCCTTGGCAAGCCCGGCCAGCTTTGCCCTTCAAGCACCTCTGCCGCCAGATAAGATCTCGGGAGCCCTCGGCAGGGAAAGGCTCTGCGGGTAGGCACAGGCTGGCTGCCAGGCAGCGTGTCAGGTTCGGGCACGATGATTTGCATTCCAGGCCTGGAAAACATCCCCGCGGATGAGGCGGATGCTTACTCTGCCCAACCAACCCGTGCCAAGTTGATCTCACCCTCTCCACCGTGCCCAGAGGCACCTGGAGTTGAATCACTGCTCCCCACAGGTCTGGCAGCCCGGAGACAGCCCAGGAGCGCTCCTGTCCTTCCCGATCCCCCATGTCTCGCCCGCCGTCAGCCTCCGCAGCATCTACTTTCACCCTTGCTCCAGCTCAGGGCCTGCAGCGGTGGCTTGCAGGGGGTCCTGAGAAAGCAGAGCCCACTGCGCAGCCCGGGGAACTGTGGGCCCCTGCAGACAGGTCATAAGAAAGGTGGGAAGAGTTTGACCTCTGAAAGTCAGCCCCCGTGAGCCCTTTCGCTGAGCGTCACTTATCAGGGACAAGGCTGCCGAGAAGCAGAGCCGGGCAGCCTGCCCGGGCAGCTGCGCCCCTGCCCAGCGGCCTCCCCGCGCGCTGAGCACCTGCAGCACGATCACGAGACACAAGCCCTCTCCTTACGACCGGGCAGAGGGGCCTGCGTGAGTGTAATAAGCACACGCAGCCAGGAGAAACTCCTGGATGTTAGCGAGAACGATTTTCTCTGTGATTACTGCAGCTTTAGCCTTTTGCAGCCTGCAAGTTCATCCCAGCCACCTCCTCGCAGCCCTTCCTTGTGTCCTTCCACAGATTTTCTCCCAGTAGAGCCCCCACGCTCTTTGAGCTACTGCTAGGCCACATACTCATAGGCACACACAATATCATTAACATCTCCCGTACACTTGCACTTCAGAACAACATCTAATTTTGTTATTTACACATCTCAGGACAGACACACACTCTGAGCTAACTCGCCTTGCTCTGGAGCGCGATACAGGCATGGATTGGGAAGCCGTTCTCCTGCCTCTTCATTGCAGAGGCTTTTAAACACAATGAAATCTTCGAATAAGTAGAGGGTAAAGCCTTGGTCTGTTAAAGGCACTGGGCACTTCACTGTTGACTTTAGGGAAAAATGGAAAGTTGCCCCCTGCTCCGCCCCCCGCTCACTGGCTCGTGCACACTTCTGAAGCACTACAGCGATCCTCATCCTGAGCATCAAACAAGGCAATGGTCAGGAAACGCTTTATATCGTTAATGTAATGCTGCAAATGGCTCCTCAGCAATTTTGCAAACTAAAGCCTTTAAGAAATCTCCTCCTAGTTCAAATGCCGAAATCTCTTCCACTGGAGGCAGAGGGCAAACATCTTATTATCATGCGGAGCAGCTCCCCTTGCCCGATCAGTCATCGGCTCCCTTAAAGAAGGGCAAATGTGGAAATCAATTCAACACATCTGCAGCCCTATCCGATTTCTTATATGGCTTTATATTTTGTATCACACTGCTCCTGACTGTCTCCTTGCCCCATGACACTTCTTAAGGTCTGGAATCACGCCGTGGAAGTTGTGTGCTTTTTTTTAAACTACTATCTCCTCAAAACCTGGCTGGCGCACACAGGCTACCCAGGGCGCACAACCCCTTTGCACGCTGCTCCAGAGCAACTGCTGAGAGTAACTTGTACCTTCAGTCTCCTCTTTCCTCGATACCAGGACCTGGAGCCATCCAGGCTGCACGGCTCTACCGGCAGCCTCTGAGCAGAGCTGAATTCTCCCCTGACTGCTGCTGGTTGCTTGCCAGCTCTACAACGTTCACCACCGTCTAGACCAGAAGTGAATAGAGAAGCAAAACCTCAAACGTTCACCAGGCATCTTCACCCAGGTCTGCACATTACGGCCTTCCACCTGGTTGAGCTCAGAGAGGACGAGGAGCGACCTGCGATCAACAGAGCTCTGCGGACGTGTACTGATTAATAGGCAGGTTAAAGAAGTTGTGCTAGTATTAAAAGGATTCTCTCTCCAGAAGAAAGGCTACAGCTGCAACATCAGTCACGTCTCTGTCTTTGCTGGCAGCAGTCACAGGGACTTCGTGTCCCATTAAGGCCAGGATGGCCAGACCTTTAGAAAACAGAGGGGAAAAGATCTCACCAGAGATGCTGCTCTAGCCCTTCGCTCTGCTGCACTGCCCAAGTCTTCTCTCCAAACCACTCTGGGAACTCTCATTTACTCGCCAAGCCCTCAGTTTGCCAGGCTACAATGTTTAAGAGCAAAGAGCTTTATTTTCAGACAAGATTCCTGGTTCTTCAGCTTCACTGGGGAGAGCAGATGTGGTTGAGAGAACAGTTGGGAAAGACAAGCAGGAGAAGTAAAAAACAGGGGGGGGGGGGGGGAGAAGCAGGATCTTCAAGTTTTAGGAGGGAGCAGAACTTGCTGAAGAACAAACCACTCTGCAGCTGTCAGGAAAGGATCATCTCAAATCAGCCTCTAGCATATGTGAGCCTCTGTCTCAGGGAGACTCGGCTCACCATCAGCCTCCTCGTGCCCCCAAGGACAGGCCTGAGCTGCCTAGCCCCTGGCTGAGGTCACCTTCGGCAGCAGGCGGAAGTGGATGATATTCAAGAGCAAGCAGAAATCTGTAGCGCGGATGTGGATGGCGAGTTATACCTTGTATGCAAGCAGACTCCTCCTTCCCAGCACTCCTGGGAACACAGGCACAGCTTAGCTCTGGGGGGAAAAAGGCTCCCTGTCCTCTCCATTTGTGATTTCTGGGACCATGCTAAGCCTTCTGCTCTCACTTCTTAAATATGCAACACCCTGAGCTCACACGTGTGCACAGACAGATACCCTCACACACACCCATTAATATACACATACCAGACGAACACATTCAGCAAGCAACAGCCAAGAAAAAAAGATGACCTCATATGCCAGTAAACAGGGATGGAGAATTTCCAGCTCCAGCAAACATATTTCCTTGCAGCCTTGCTACCAGAAGACTGATCCAACTGCAGAAGTTGTTCTTCCAACCCAGCCTGCTGGAAAGAGGAGATCTGCAGGTGCAGAAATCCTGCCTCTTATGAAGAAAAGGGGGGAAAAAAAGAAAAAGCCTTGAACCTCAGTGAACAGCACTACTGACTGAAGTGCAGGGAGAATAAAAACAACCACCCAAAAGAAACAGCACAGAACTTTCTCGAGGTATTTCAACTTGCCTTTAAAGTGTAACACCCCCCCTAGCCCCCCCTCCCCAATTAAAGCTCTTTAATTCCACCCACACATCATCCAATGGCTCTGCATAATCTGGAGAGTTTTACTGGGTTACTAAATTACAGGCATGATTATAACCCCCCAGGGAACAAAAGTCTTTTTTTTCAGGTGCTGCTTTAAGGCTGAAGCATGTTAAGAGCCAACTCTCCAGCCTTGGCATGGATTCAGGTCTCCCTGTTTTGTAGCCATTTAAGATGCTATTGCAGATTAGTGCTACAGCCTCACCTATGCAAGCTGCTCTTGTTGCTGGTCTTCTCCTGTAAACCTGAGAGCTAAAGCAGCTTAATCTTTAAAAAGGGTTAAGTGCTAGAGTTACTAATGAGATGGAGCACTCAGGAGCTGCAGGGAGAGGAGGGCTGATTGAGGAAAGGATCCTTTTCCCAATCAGGTGCCCTGAGGCCCTACCTTGGGATAATTCTGTTCTCCATCTGTTGTGGAGAACAGACTCCAGAGGGGAAACTTTGCAGCTGGAAACCTTCCGTGCTAGGTCAGGATGAAGGAGTCCAGGGCACGCATCCAGCAAGACATCACTCTCCAAATTTCCACCCAGCAAAATAAAGTGTGAAAAACATTTGCTTGCTGTGCCAATACAAAAACAGGGAGAAGGGGACAGGCAGCTCCTGACCTCAGTTATCATCTTCTGAAATTCTCAAAAATAGGAAATGATGTTGGCCCTAGATCTATGAGGAATGGATTCGATAGCCCTACTCACATAAGCCGGTCTACAATGACCCCTTCTTTAAACAACAAATCAATACCAATTTGCACGCACCGTGCAAGCCGCTCCCCTCTCTGAACGTCTCCAGCCAGTTTCCTCCTGTTCCCCTCTTGGAAGATGAACAAAGCCGATGCCAGGCAGCTCTGCTGACTTTGCACCGGACGATGCTTTGGGGCACTGACCTGAAAGGCTGCTTATCACCTGCTACTGCAAATCTTGGGTTTCCCCATCGCAGGACTCCACAGGTTTCTTGCTCCATGAAGATCTGCCTGGGTGTCCTGGGGCCCCAGCGGTATCATTCACCCATTCGGCAGGGAGAGACCATCTTGTCTGCTCCTGTAATGAGTGGGCTATGCCTGGTCCTAGCCATTTACAGCACCACAATTTTTTCTCCCCAACATTGGGAGCAGAAGACCACCCTTTTTTGTCTTATTCTTTCCTTTTTCTTGTACAATGCAGCCAACATCAGCCCTGGGAGAGCGCGGCAGGGACAGCAGTTTGCTGAGGATCCGGCTGTCTTCTAAGCTGCTCTGCTGTCTGGTAGATTTTCCTCAGATTGCTACAGGCCAAGGATTTCACCTTGTTGCCTCACAGCTTTTCTGGAAAGCTCAATCCTTCCTCCTGTTTCCAGAAGCCATTCCCCATGTCCCCAGGGAGTATAGACAGACATCGCTATCAAGGGGATAAGAGCAAGGTGAGGAAGAAAGGGGAGGTTTTGTCAGGCTTTGACTTCCATTTCCACACCCACAGTGTGTCCCAGCAGACAGGGCTGCTAGACATATGCTTTTTGGGACGCTGTTTTTGCACATATTTGTCACCATAGCCGTCTTCGGCTCAGCATGGACAGTCAGTCATAGGCTCAGCCTTCAAACCCAACTGTTCCCATCCAAACCCACTGCTCAGCTTCAAGAATATCGCCCCCAGCCCCCCTTACCCCAGCCTGCCTCTTCTCAGGCAAGCAAACCACTCTTTCCCTTCTGTTCTTTCCCACTCAAGAGGGTTTGGAAAGCTGGGAGCCCCGCAACACCCCAATTCATCTCAAAACCCTGCAGAACGCCCTAGTGGGTCTAGGTCTGTTGGCCTAGGAGACCCCAGCCCCAGAGCCAAGCAGCCCCAACAAAACCCCCTGCGTTACGCCGCACAAATCGATGCGCCCAGGACACACGTGCAGTGGCCAAGCCGGCAAGCGCACGTGCCATCACTGCCTGACGTACCGCAAAACAACACGAGACCTACAGGTAAACTTTTACAAACGTGGCAAACATGCACGTTTACTGGGAAGAGGCTTTCTGAGCAGTTCGTGGTACAAGCATCCTTTTCCCTGCAACTAAATGAGGGCAAATGGTTACATAATTTGATTAAAGCACTCCAATCGCAAGCAAAGGAGGGTTAAGTGTGTTAATTGCGAGCACACGTCTAGTTTGGAGGACTAAGGAATAACAACATGAAAGACTAGCTATTTCCACTCAGCCAATGCCGAAAGTTTGCTACAGATCAGGAGTGTTTAAAGAGGGTTCATCAGCATGATTTGCTATTGATTGTTACTTTTATATAATCACAGAAATAGGTTCAAGAGGCCACAGAAAAGGAGCAGTTGCCTGTATACTAGTGCTTTGCTGCCAGGAAGGGGGAAAAAAGAGAACTACATCAGTATGTTAAAACTTCCATGCAATTTAGGCTGCTATAATAATTATCCAATTAGCATGTAAAGCAAGTCAGATCTACTTAAAGAAACACACTCATCCGGTACTTCTTTTTTACCATTTTGTTGCACTGCACGTAAACGGACACTGATGTAAAGGACCTACTTCAAACCCAGCTACTACAGTGAGCGCATTTCAATTTGCAGCGCGCACAACCACATATTACAAAACAACAACATCATGTGCAAAATTGAAGTTGCTCAGTGTGTGTGTATATATATATATATATATGAAAAATACATACATACAGAAATGCATATGGAGATCTGATTTTTGGTCGAATGTACTCTTCTGCAGGCTATATGCAAATATGACTGGAACCCAAAGACTGAATTATCGCTCAGCTGAACGTACGTATACATACCAAGCTCCTTTTTTACAATCTGCCAGACGAACACACGTGCGTTGTGTACACTGAAGCATCTTGCCGATTTTTAAAAAACGCTCTTGGCCTATCTACTAAGAGTTAATCGCCGTCTCCCACGCACTCCCGCAGAGTGCTGCAGGAGCTCAGGTGCGCGCTGGATCGTGCACATCTTGCAAGCCACGCAGATTTTCACAGAACGTGAACTCCACGGGTGTTGCCACAAAAAACTAGATGCTGGCTGTTTCCAGTTCTTCTTCTGGTTTAGCAAACACTCTGGTTTTAAGCAGTGCTACACAAACCAATCTCTCCCAGGGCAATTCTCATGTTCACACCCAAATCCCACCCAAGTAGCAAGGCTTTAAACAGAAAGCAATCAAGCAATTATACACAAACAAGTTATTTAAAGGAGATGTCAGTAAAAATCGAGCCATAAACGCTCACGAGATAGTCAACTCCAGAGGAAATCTAAGGAGAAGCATCCAAAAGTCCCATTTTAATCCTGAACCCAGGAGGGGAGCGAGCTGCGTGGGACAGTGCTGCGGGACCCAAAAGGCGCAGGGTCTCCTGTGCCAGGGCAGAGTTGAAAGGAAGCTACCAGCAGAATCAGTTTTCCACATGAAAGCAGAAATATTTAAGCTTTTAAGCCTCACCTTCTCTCCTGTTGGTGCTCAGGGCTGCAGGCAGGAGAAGAGACACACTGAGGCAGCTCAGAGTCATAAACCAGCACGGAGCCATTTGCAGGGCCCCGGGACCTGCCCGTGCAGGTGCTCAAAAGGCACGAAGCTCCAGGTCCGGGGTGCGAGAGGCCTGCAGGGGGGCTCGCGACTGGCTGGCCGCCGTCCGCTTTGCTTTCTTTATTCCGGTGGTTTTATCAGCTCCTCCACCTGAGTCACTCCCAGCAGGAAGAGCGCGTGTGCCTTACTCTGACTCACCTGGTGAATAAGGAGAGAGAGCCCAGCCCAGAGAAAGCAGACAGGCACACACCCGCGGCAGCGCCCAGCGCCCTCCTGGGCCAGCGGAAACGGCCGCTCATCAAGAAGAGAGGCATCGGCAGCGACGAGCCGCAGCGCCCCGGGCATCTCCTCCCGGCACCAGCCTGCGGGTGCTGGCTCACTAAGCGGCTGTCCCAAAATCCAAACGAAGGCGCTGTGCAAAGCCTGCTTCCCTCCTGCCCGCCCCCGTTGCTGAACTCTATCCCATCTGATGTCACTTCTTGCAAGGGCAGGGCACGGAGCTGCCGCTGCTCCCTGGGGAAGGCAGCGCTTGGGAAGAGCGCTGTCCGGGCACGCACACAGCTTACCTGGAGCGAGGAAGGGAAACGCGAGGAAATCACGAGCAGTCCGAGGAGGGTGGACAGGGACTGACTGGTCACGGTCTCTTCATACACAACAGTTAGGGGCCATCCAATCAACCTAATGGACGAGGAGAGGTGTTCTTTACACAGCTGGGCACAGACCAGTGGGACTCTGGGGACCCAAAAAGCCTTGGAGGACAGACCGAACACGTACTCGGAAGAGAGATCTGAAAGGATTTATGAGATAAACTCATCAGGTTCAGGAAACCCTCAAATCTTGAAATAGGGTGGAGGTTTGCAATTGTCAAGGGAGGTATCACACACATTTGCCAGTTTTAACTTCTCTGAAGGCAACTGAGAGAGAAAATTCGTTCAGGTGGGTGCTTTCCGTGACCTGGTACGACCGTTCCTATGCTAGAAAAAGGATGTGCAACGGGGACAGAGAGGGGAAAAGACCCGCCTGAGCTTGCTGACAGAGCCAGGATTAGGATCCCAGGCTCCAGAGCACCAGGTCCCTTAGCATTTGGCCTCAAGGGAGGTGAACGGGCCACATGAGACCCAAAGGGTAACTCCATTCTGCTCCTGCCCTTTGCACTGGAGGAGCTGTGACCACTTCCACGTGCAGAGAGGCAGATCTGAAGACATGAGTCCTCCTGTCCCTGCATACGGCCAAACACGCAGAGTAAGCGAGATGCTGGCACTTCCACAAGCCTGGCAAAGCAGGAAATCCTGACTGATTGCAGGAAAGGGTGGGCCCAGGGGCTACCTCACAGCGTCTTCCCTGAATACCGTCAGAAGTGTGCTGTCAAAAGTGAAATCCAGTGATCCACAAACACGTTCAGATGAAATAAAGTGCAACGAGTTTACCTCAAATCCACCACCGGTTACCTTTCAGGTGACCGTGTCCACGAGGGACTGAAATCAACCCGCAGGCAGAACCGTGCTGATGCACTCCTTGTTTCAGGGTTAACAGACTCGCCGATCTGGCTGGCTGGGGTATTCAACATGTAAGTCTCCTTCTGAATCTCCTAAGCTGTATCTTAAGCTGTTGGGTACCATAGCCTCCACACAGTCCTACACCTCGCGCTGACTCACACAGCTTTACTCTGCAGCTCCTCGCTGGGAGCAGTGCCATGGTGATTTCATGGGTGTAACCAGCCTGAATTCACCACATTTTTGCAACTCTCTTTTTGCCAAGTTTACCTCCCTCTGCTGATTGATTCAGCTATCTTTTATAAACAGATCCTTTCCTTTTAATTGCACATGCCGGATCTTAATATAGCTCACAACAAGGAAACCAGCTTCGCTAACGTGCTGATGGCGTGTTGATTTTTGGCACAAAAGATTTCCTTATCTGATTTTTTTTTTTTTTCCTTCAAGTGAGACAAAAATACTTACAGTGCTCCCACTGCTTTGGCAGAGTTCTTATGGGTCTGCTTGTTCCTCAACAAAACACGCGTAACCTACTCTGCCGTACAGAATCTTCCATATATCATTTACATCAAACTGCCTCCTTACCTCCCCTGCTTCCTTCCTGATGACACACAGGAACTGCTCTCCTTCCACCTGTCAGCAGCGCTGTCATTACCGCAGTCCTCCAGGACCTTACCCAGCCTTTCTCTGAACAACCCAAGTTCTTCAACGATTTCTTCCTCAGAAGACCAGCTCATACCATCAGGAAGGTTTTCTCAAGAGCTGCCATTTCCCCTCTGGCTCCTCCAAGTTATTCCTCATGCCTCACTATTATCACCCCACTTCTCACTCTGCTTCTACAAACAAGACACTGACACATCCCACCCGTCTAGTCACTTCTGCATGTTTTCTCTGCTTAGTCGTTCCTCGTCATTCTCTACCACCATTCTCAAGGTTACCTTTGAAAGCTGTACGCCCACATGCATGACACTATCCAAAATGTATTATTCTAGGCCCTGATTTTCTAATCAGCCTAGATCCACAACAAACTGATGCCTGCTACCCCCAACAGAATATTGCCCATCAGGACCATCGTTATAGCAACACTGTTTAGAAATGGACTCGAAAACGTGCGTAACTGAAGTGTTACCTTTTAGAGTAAAGGAAAGTGTAAGCTATGGTGAGTATACAAAGGCATGAAAAACAGCGGCATTCATCAGGTATTATAATGAAACTGCATTACTTCAGTGAACAACCTGGGCCTGCACTTCCCCTTTAATCTGCCAAATAGAGGGTGTCCTGAAAATGCCCTACACTCATTCTTTATAATGGGGCTACAAAAACTAAAATTGCTGCCGCAGGGAGACCGCAGCAGAGGCTGAAACGTTAAAACTTTGTGGACGTGGTCATGGCTGAATTAATCATTTTTCCAAAGACAGCCTGAATCCATAAAATAATCTGAATTTAGTTGATACTTGCCAGGAGCAATTGATAGATGTTTGAAGGCGCTGAAGTGTAGCACTGCTTTCAGTCGATGTGACCAGGAAAACCATTTAGCTGCTCGTGATAGACAAGTGATGCCAGGGTAAAGGCAGGAACTATCCAGCTGTAAACAAGGCAGATTTAAGCCTTCCGTCTGCCTGCAGTGGGTGTTCATGTTTCAGCTTGCCCCTCACAGCCCCTCAAGCCTTTCCAAACCTTTCTCCCTGAGGGACTTTCTAAACCACAACGTCCTCTTAAAACATTGGTCCCTGGGCTACTTTTGCTGGTGGCCTTGTTTCTCCTTCAGTGTTTACCGAGAAGTGGCTTATCTTGAGTTATTTCTGTTTGCTTGCTTTCCTTCCAGTGACTGCTGCACTGTGAGTACGTGTTCGTGTGCATGTGTGTGCGTAAGGAGTAAGAAAATAAGGAATTTTCTTTAGTCTGGCAACAGAATTTTATCTTGTCATCTTGGACTTCCTCAATATGGAAAACTAGAGATCCTGTCCTGTTGACATTGCAGAACAAAGAGCCTAGTGATAAAGCACGGACTTCAGTCTCTGGTTTGCCTTTGCTTCGGATTTCTCCCAGCAGGCTTAGGGCCAGCACGTAGAACCACCTTTACCAGGTCAATATTCCCAATAAAGCATTTTCCCAACATAATATTGGGATATTTCCCCAATAAAGCATTATCCTAAGATGATTCAGATGCTTGCCCTAGAAAGAATCCACTTTATAGCAAAACACACAGCAGTATTTTAAGTTCATCCTTTAAAAACTCCCTTCTCGGGGACACGCGAGCTTCCTTCATGAGACATTGTCCTTTGGCACCTGCAGTGCTTTTACATTCATTTTTGATAGCCAGTTATATCATGGTCGAACAGCTGGGGGTAGAGCAAACATGCCCGGTTCTCTGAGTGTTTTAATGCTGGACCTTGTTTAGGAGCGGGAAACTCCCTCACCTCGCCCAAGGCCGCACAAAGCAATCAGACGCAGAGCTAATTAAGCCACAGGCTTTGCGAGGCCCCCAGGACTCCGTTCTCACTCGCCAGGGCAGGCTGCCTCACTGCTCCCATAGGACAGCAGCAGTCAGAAGAACAAGCGCAGAATAATACTGAAACTAAAGATTCTGCCAGCAGCATTTATAACATACTAAGCAAGGTCCCAGCCCCTCTAATTTCCCCCTGAGACCAGCAGGCATGAAAATACTGCTGCTAAGTTAGTAGCGCCAAGCAGCCTGGCTCTCCTGCCCTCCCATATCGCTTACCCCAGGAAAGCGGCAACGCAGCCTGCGAGAATCAACCCGTGACCCTTTGTTAAAAATCCCCCGTGCGTTACAGGGCAGGGAAACGGGCAGGCTCAGATTAAAAGGCTCTCCTAAACAAGCAAGACAGCGACTGCGTCCCTGCTAAGATCAACAGCCACAGGGCTGCCTTTCTCCACGCGCAGGACCAAGTAAAATCCCCTTGCCTCGGGGCCACAGCAGATCACTCGGGAGCGCTGCCCTCCCCAGGTAACTGCGGTGAGCAAGCGAGGCAGGCCTGTCTGACTAGACCGCGGCTGAGGTGTTAGCAGAGCAAGGAAGTACAGTCACGTCTGGCCTTGCCTCACCTATGCCCTGCCTGCAGGAGCGAGGGACAGACACGCGCGCAAACACAACGCGCAGGAAGATAAAGGAAGGCTGCATTTCCTTTCCGCTGCATTCCTCCCCCTGCCATGGCAGCTGCTGGGCTCTGGTGGGACGCTGATGAGATTTTTGCACAGCATTCCTGACATTTCGCAGGACAGAGGCACGCTGAGGATGAGGTATCAGTCCAGTAGCTAACTAGAAACACGTGGATACAATATGCCATGGCTGCACGGGGGGGGGGGGCAGGCCCGCGCCCAGCGCTCCACAGCCGTGTCTCCTCTGCTCCATCCTCAGATACACCTAAACATACCAGACCTGCCTCCTTCAGGCAGCCACCTCCATCGTGATAATCTCCTGCCAATACCTCCTGCTCCCCAAAAGTGAGAGAGAACCTGGCTCACCAGCCCCGAGAGATCAGGTCCTCTGAACATGGGCCTCTACAGGCGGCCCATGAAGTCCCCGAGCCCTCCTCCTCGAGAAGCTCTCCCCTACTTTGCTGGGATAAGCACCCCAGGACAATCAAACACGTTTACCTCAGCTGCAAAGACCCTGGCCAGTAACTGATGCCTCTCTGTTCACTTCACTTCCTTGCTATTGCCAACTGCTTTCTGGGACCCCCTTTCCTGCTGGGAGTCTCCTCAGTTCTCCAGAGCGCACATGAAAAGTGATGGAGGTTTAACTTGGACAACGAGAAAAGCCACTAGAAACAAGAGGAGAAAAGAGCCACCTTAAATAAAGCACATTCATAAGCAATTACAATTGTCACCAATGCATTCCCAGGTCTTAACTGGACCAGGATGTGAAAAAGTGGTGTTACTGCGTTGTGGTTTTACAGCCCCACGTTGGTGAGGCTTAGCCTTTTAAGTGTGCATTGTGCCTACAACTGAAGCTTAGACAAACTCTAATTAAAGATAAAACAGAACAAAAAAGAAAATAACAATTAAAAAGAGGTTAGCTATCATGCAAATTAGCAAGATACATGCGTTCTCCTCTGCTGAGGCAAACAAATCCAGTCTGCAACTATAAGACATCAGTTTGAGTTCGAAACTACATAGTCTGCTATCGCAATAATCCGTCCTGACATTAAAAACTTGCTCAACTGAGAAACTTGCTCTGGCAGAAGGGACCAATGGAACAGAGTATCCAGATTCACGGCATTTCTTACTAGAGAAAATTAAGCTTCTTCATTTATGTTCTTTTTTCCCCTCCCTTTCAGAAATAGGCAGTCCTTACACTGCAGGGGCCCCTTGCTTTTCGGTATGTTCACCTGAAAAGAGACAAGATTTTACCCTTACAATATAATGAAACACACCTCTGATCTTCCACTTCTTTTGAGAACAGCTCAGCTCCAATAGTATCAGCAGTAACAACATATTCTCTTATTTCTTAAGCACTAGAAAAAACAGCAGCATAAAATTAATTGGATTATTAGCCATGGAGAGAAATCATAATTACTATGGCCATTTGCAACCAGTTGCATGAATTTGCAAATCACTTCTTTCTCCTCCCTTCTCCCACTCGTTCCCCCAGTTTCTTCCAGACAAGGGAAAGATTTGGACCAGGTGAATAAATACCAAACCTACGTGGCGGAAGGCCACAAGTTGGGCAAGGGAGACCTCTGATGCCCTTTGTGGGAAGCAGAGCGCTTGCATCTTCTCATCCACGATGGACAGAAGCCCCCACCCTAACCCCAGCAGGGAACAAAAGCCCAAACTTTGAAACGTTACCTCGAGAAGAGGAGGCTCCCATTCCAGTTAGTAAGAAAATGTGAGTCACGAGCAAGCATATGATCAGACAGAAGAGGGAACACAGCAACTGCAACAAAGAGCCCTTAGTGCCCAACCAAGGCAACGAGTGATTCGTCATTACTGCTGTCCTCAGAGAGGCCGAAGCTACATACTTCTCTCCTTCCACGTGAGATAATTAACTTTAGATTTTCTTCCTAAAAGCTGTCAGTTAAGATAGCTCCAGAAGAACAGGAGAGCTGCGTCCAGCCCAAGTGACTACTCGAACAAGAGGCAAATCTTACAACTGAGACAGACCCACATCAGTTTGAACTTCCACACAAAGCAAGACTCCAAAGAATCCCAAGGTATAAGGGGTTACAAATATTCAGACTTTATTATAAATAAGAAATACTGTTTTATACATAAAAACTGCAGGTGTTGCATTTTGTTCACCGCCCCAGACAGCAAGACCACAGATTAAGGCAAAAAGCTGAAGTGAAGGCACATACTGAGGGGGCCACAGTCAAGAATAAAGTGATGAAGGAACTGTCACATGTTCTCTGCGACATCTAGCACTCCATCAGCAGCTGTCTCATCATCACATTACGTAAAGAAATAACTGGACTTATACAATGAATAATGGCTGTAATGCAGTAGTGATTAAGAGATTGCTTATAAAGATTTTTTTTTTATTTAAAAATAAAATTCTGTTAAAAACAGGAGCAGGAAACCTTAGGCCTGAGGTCAGCCAGGGCATGCGTGCGTCTTCGCGTCTGCTCTTCCCACAGCCTTGGCAGAGAGGTGACATGGTTAGGAGACAGCCATGCGACCAGAGCAGCCAGCCAGGAAATACTGATGTGAAAGTCCCACAAGTGTAGGTGAACACAGGTAAACTCTCCTCCAAGGGTGGTACTAAGCGTGTTCACAGGCAGGGGGATAATCCCAGGTCAGTTTTTGGTAAAGGAAAAGGGGCACAAGAGAGATACAGGGTTTGCTGGAAACACTCCCCCACCTCTGTCCAGCAGCACTGTTTGGGAAAACGCACTAGGCCTCCCACTAAGTTCTCATTCCTTCCACAGTGGTATTAAGAAGATCCCAAATTCGGTTCTCGGATCACCTCAACATTGGGTCTAGCCTCTAAACAGCGCTGCGGCTCCTCACAGTCCAGCTGCAAACCCACAGCCACCCCCCACCCCACATACATCAGCGTAACAGTACTTCCATAACCGAGACCCACAGAACCGGTTCCTACGAGCTACGCGCTTCAGGGTCTGTCGGGCGTCCGGGGCTGGCTTTGGAAGGAAGGCCAGGGAGCGGCCCATCACTTGACTGCATCAACAGGCAAGCTGGTTATTGCTAATACCACACAAAATAGACACTGAGAACATGAGGGAGGAAAGGGAGCGGGAGCCCAGGTAGGGGGGATACCTAGCTCTAAAGGAACAGACGACAGAAGTAATACATGCTGCATGTGATGTGATGGTTACGGGGGAAAGCACGGAGAGGAGGACAGGCTGTGCCACTCTGGAAATATGGCTGAGTATATTTACACACACACACATACACACACACACACACAAAAGAGACTTCCTCACTCTATAATCATGATAAAAAACAAAACAAAACAAAACAAAAAATCACATTCACACAAAAAATATAAATTTGAAATAATTAATAGCACCAGTGTGTGTCAGATAATAATTTCTTCCCCGCTACGCAAACGTACAAAGTTGCATAGTGTTTAAGTATATATATATTTATATATATTGGATCTCAAAGAGGAGAGAGATGGGGCTGTCCGACTGGAACTAACGAGGAAACTGCAGAGCGTGTTCCCTTCTCAGATGAGGGTTAAAAGGAGGAGTGAAAGCTTCCCCACCACTGCGTCCCAACAAGACAGATTAAGTAGCTGGGAATGGAAGACACTAACTGGAGAAGAACTCTACAGGGGAGGCAGTAGTAGCTATGTGAAGTACTGTGAGTGCAGAATTGCCACCAGAGCGAGGCCTGAACTCTCGGTGCCGCAGTATTTTAAGATGACCAGGTGATCTGCAGGTAAAAAGAAAGAAGGGCACTAGTAAACTTTGGCTCTTTCCATCAGGTTAAAAACGGACAAAAGGCAAGATGAACACCAGAAAAAATAAAAATGCTACTATCCTCCTCCAGGAAGAAGACGGGGACAAACACCTCTTCATTTACATCTTCAAACCCTCTTTCTCCCCACCCGAAGACATTCAACTTAAAGTTCAGGCCAGCTGTCAGAGCTCTCTGGATGGCAGGTTTTTTTTTTTTTTTTAAGCTAGACTTCTGCTGCTTTAAAAAAAAAAAAAAATCTGTCAATTAGTCATTTCTGTTCTAAAAAGATCCTCTGGCAATTCCATCGCAACATCTACAGATGGGAACTCATTTGATCACTTGCAGACTCCTCAGCCTGGACTACCTGACAGGTAGCTGCTTACAGACTGGACGTAACATTTCTGCTCCACAGGCCAAGAGTAGCGCTGGCAAGTCCTATCACTCCATCTTATTATCCCATCTTCCCAAAACGCTCCTCTCAGAGGCTGCGTTTTTCTCAGAGCAATGCATCATTATAGAAAGCATTTCAGAAAGAGGCTTAGAATATATTTTTTAAAAGGCTACCAATGCTTTTGATTGGCCACTAGTTAACATTTAAAAAAAAATTCACAGGGTTAGAAGTGGAGGAAAGGGATCTGAATGAGTGCAGCTATACTGGCCATTACAGTAATACTTTGGTAGCCAACCCCCTTCCTTCATAGGAACAGAGCGCTCTGGGACCAAGGATTTTACATAAAGTCGAGGGGAGAAGAGAGGAGAGAAAGTAGAGTTAGTTTTGCCTTGTTGTATACAGCTCACATGGTTATTTCCGAACCATAGTATAAAGAGTCCAGAACATCTTTCATCTTTATGCTAATCAAAGGGAAACCGTGTCTGAGAAAGGGGCAAAGGTGGAGTGCTCAGGAAGACAATTTATATAAAACCCCTTTGATGCCCAAAGACGGATATTTAATTTGCTTCTCTTTTAAAACTTTTCAACTTATCCTGATTTGGAAAGAAAACTGTGACTGCGAGCAGCAAAGAGTTGGGGATTTGAAGAAGGTAATGTGTTAAGGCACTCCATAGCCAAACAATTGCTCCACCAGTCACTGGGGGAACCCACCCCCACCCCCAGTGCACCCTTAGGGTTTCTCAATGGACGGGGTGTTAAAACAGCCAGACGGCAAGGTCTTCTTGATGTCTTCCAGGTTGCTAATGTCTTTCAGGATTTCCTCAATGTCCCTGTTGTAGGCCTGTATCGCATCATCTTGCTTCCTGGCTTCTCTCTCAAGGAAAGACACTTTCTGGTCCAGGTCGCTGTCTTTCATCTGATCTTTGGCACTGTTCAGGGTACCCTCAATCTCATTCAGTTTGTTCAAGTCCACTGTCTCCAGTTGCCCTGAAAAGCCAGAAACAAACAGTGAAGTCCATGAAAACGCCTCTGACACACAGTTTTCCGGTGCTTACACAACAGAGCCCAAATTACGGACAAGCGGGCTGAGATCTTCAACGGACCATCCTTGCATTAAAAAACAGGACCAATCGAATGAGTGATACCTTCAGTGCCTCAACAACGGTCCTAAAGCTTGCTGTGCAACGTTCAGTGCTGCCCTTCTGTGAACTTGAGGCGATCTCAGAAAAAACACCTAACTAAAGCACAACAACATGATCTCTAGAACTTAACGGACCCATCTGATTCCTAGCACGTCATCTGCAGCAAAGCAGCCGCGCTAAACCAGTTGCACCTACTTCCATGTCAAGCAGCAAGAAAATACTCCAAGGCATGCGTATTCAGAAACCAAGTAAGGGCAGGAGTGCAGCAGTCTTACCTAGTTGATCCAGAAGGTCATTAATGACAGCAAGCAAGCTATTTACAGAGTTCTTCGCTTTTCTTGCATTGTCTTCTGCCTCCTGGGCAGCCTGCGAGGCCTATAAGGAGAAAGAATGACAGCACAACAAAGGCAGTAGGGATTACGAAAGCATTGCCTCCCCTCTTCACGTACGTGCCGCATCAGTGAAGCCTCACATACGTATCCCTGGTTCCTCTCTATGATAAAACTCCTGTGCCAAGATCTCTGTCAAGAGTTCCGGTGAAGAAAGACAACTTTCAAATCATCAGTTTTCCATAAGGAGGGATGCGATTCCCTGATAACAGGGCCGGATTTTGCAGGAGAACATCAGAACGACGGAATCATTGGGGCTACAATCAGGTTTCGGTTCAGAGAAAAGATAAGTGTTACGTTAAGAAAATTGGCTTTCAAAGTCCAGCAGTGAACCTATGCTAACACTACTAGAGAAACTCCTTTTCTAGTCTCATGTTTTCCACCCTACTTAAAACCTGGAAGAGAGAGAATAGTAACTGGAAGCAGTGCTGTCTTTGCAAGAGGGCAGCGGCGGGGAGGAAAAAAAAAAAAAAATCCATCTCCAGGATAGTAAGGAGACAGTACCTTCTCACTACTGCAGTCAGCTGTTAGAACTACTTACCATGCCTGCCATCATCATATCCTGATCAGCATCATCTTGTTTCCGCTTCAGCTCTTTTTCTGCATCTTGCAGTTGCTTCATCATGTCATCCACTTCTCTGGCCAGTCCCGTCACATCAGAGAAAGTCTTGTCAGCTTCAGCTTTGGTAGCAGCAGCATTCTGCAGTCAACACAGGGGAGAGGATCAAAAGAAGTGGGGAAGGTGCAGAACGTTCTTCAACCCTTTTCATCATAATGCACCAATTTCCTATCATGCCACATTTTGCGTTCCCTGATGGGATATAAAGTTCAAATACAATTCAACAACAGTAGGTCTCACAGCAGCTTGGCAGGACGAATGTGTATGCATGCACCAGGAAATACTGGAATGGAGGAATTGGCTCAATTAAATGCCAGTACCTCAGGAGGGCTGATTCCAAAACTGCTAGTGACTCACCTTCTGAACAGAGCTGGCGATTTTCTCAGCATCATCTGCTTTAGCCTTGGCTTCCCGGGCATCATCAGCAGCATTGCCGAGCGCCAGCTCTGCCTGGCGTGTCTTATTGTTGGCTTCAGCTATCGTCTGGGTAATGGCAGGAATCTTCTTCAGTGCCTCCTCAGCTGCTGTTTTATTATCATTCACACGTTTATCAAAATCTGAAAAAGGGCAAAACAATTTCACCGCTTACTTCAAGAGAGCCTTGGGATGCTTCTTTGACCAAGCTACCCAGGCTATGCTACCCTGAAATGACAGTGAAAGAAAGCAAACTAGGATATGGGAGTGCTGTTACCTTTGCTATCTTAATACCCTTCAGGGCAGGATTAGCGTCAGCGTATATGAAAAGTTTACCATGAAGCAAAGGCAATGATCACGCACGGCATCCTGCAAAAAACCAGCAGCAGTAGTTGCTGAACAAGAAGGCTTGCAGCTCTCCCTAGCAAATGTCCTCCGATGCTAAATATGGAAGTTGCACAAAAAGTACATTTCTGGTCATTGAAAGGATTTCTGTTTCTTCTTAAAAAAAGAAAAAACAAAAAAAACCCTAAAAAATACACCCTCCAAAGACACACACACAAGAAGAAATCATCTAATGCTTAACTACTGGCAACAGCATGAACCATTAGCCAAGATGCCCTACTGGAGACAGACCGGTCAAACAAATTCAACGAGTCACTATAAGTTCTTTTCCTATACCTTTCAGGTTGCTGAGAATGGTATTGGCCTCCTCTAACGTGCCATTTCCCTTCCGAGCAGCTTCTTCAGCCAGAGCTTTCGCTGCATCAGCTCGAGCCAGGAGCTGGTCTGCAGTCTGGAAAGACATGACATATATCAACATATTCTTATATCCTCTTGAGAGTGACCACCTCGGCATATCAAAATGCATCACCTAAACAGCCTGAAACACCAATGCAATACAGAACAGCGTTCATCCTCAAGTTCACTTCCTCTGAAACCATGTAAATTTAGCTCCTTTACTTACACTGCCCTGAATACAAATAAGATGGCACACCTAGCAAACACCCCTAACTCCCTAAATATAGCCTCAATGCCGCTGTTTTTACCAGCTTCTTGCATCTCCTCTCCAGGACCTACTTTTCAATATTCTCATAAGTAATAAGCAGCGCTGAGATTGAATAAGACCGAATCTTTCGTATCTGGTCAGTTACTTGCTTTCCTTTGTTTTTTCCAGGGGGAAAAAGTCTGCAAAAAACACAACTGACCTGCTGTTCCGTCTTCCCTTTCTCCAAGAGGTTCTTCACTTCCAGCTCTTTTCCTTTCATGTCTTCTCTCAAGTCCTCATAATCTTTCAGCTTCCTTGCAATTAGCTGATCCAACTCCTCTGCTTCCTTCTTGATCTTATTTGCTTCATTCTGCATGTGGAGATCAGAAACAAAAGCGGATTTTCTGAACATTACGAACATCAAAGAATTTCTGAACAGGTGGCAACCACTGTGTAGTTTCTCATGTTCAAAACAGGCAGCATCTATGATAGGTTCCCTTCTCTTATGACTAGAACTGTAACCCTGCATCACCAAGGCTTTCAAAGTCCTGAATACCACCAGGGTCAGTACAAAGACGGAGGATAGAAACATCTTTGTGCATACAAAAATCTACTCTGCTGTCATGAGCAAAGGAGAGGGAATAAATCTACAGAGTTTAGACGGGACTGAAATTCTTGCACTTTTCAGTTCCAGTCAAGATGTTTGATAAATTTGACCTTTTCTTATTGACCTTCAAATTTGACATTTGACCTTTTTTTTCTTCCTTCACAGACTGGGGGGGCTGGGTAGGGAGGTAAAAGCTTAGGTACACAAACGTGCCTTGTGAGTATACTGACAAGAGTTCCACAGATTATTTTTAAGTAGAGAAACATTAACAAAGTGCAGACAACATTTGTCAGTGACTTATCACACTGCTCTAACGCTTGCCATCGCTGATCTTTGGGGCATGCTATGCATCATGCTTCACTCATTTACCTCTAGCCCTGTGGAATCCACAGTAGGCAGACTGGTGAGATTAGCGTAGATCTGCAAGGCCTTGTTCCCAGCTTCCTCTGCTTCTGCAAGTACTTTGTTTGCCTGTTCCTCTAGATCGCGAGAAATGTTTCTGGCTTGATTATACCTAAAAAAGGAAAGAAAAAAAAAACCCACAAAATAACAAACCACTATGATTCTTTTTCTGCAGAATTAAAAATACTAAGGGAGTAGAGAGGCTAAAACACTGAAAGACAGCTCTCAAAATCCAAAGCATAAATGTTAGATAAGGCATCTTAACGCTCTACTCTACTCTAAACCCTGGAAATAAAACCTGCTTTCTGTTACTGACTCACTTCAGGTTGAGCTCATCAATGTCATTTGCAGTTTGGTTCTCTCCAGCCAGGGCCTTCAACAGCAGTTGATATGCTTCTGAGGAAGTATCATTTGCTGCCTTGGCTATACGCACAATATCATCAGCTTCTTGCTGGTGCCTAGACAGCATTACAAAAGAAAAATAATTCCATTACAATTATGAACTAGCAGCTTCTATTCTCAATTCTAAGATTTTGTTTTCTCCTACTTTTCCTTTTTTTACCCAGATTTGTGCAGCTAAAATATTTACAATGGAGAGGTGTTGTTTGAGACAGTCTCTGCAACCAAGGGCGTCGCTACTTCAGCGGTGCCCACAATATCAGCAAGGCACTGCTATAGTTCTACACGTCTCTAGCTCAGAGATCTAGTGCTTGCCCTCATTCCTACTGATGTACAGCTGCATACCACAGGCCACTACACCTCCTCTACAGCAATGGAACATCATTAGAAACAATGCCAAACCGTCTCCCATTCAGCCACAGGAAGCGTGTCTCATATCAAGCAAATCAAATTGCACTTCCCTTTTCCAGGGAAAAACAGGGCCCTGACGCGGACTGCGAATATCATGTCTTGCCACAGCCTACCGTTCAGCCAGTTTACGGGCCTCTTCTGCCAGAAGAGTCATGTTGTTAGGGTCACCACTTGATTCCGGGGGTGTAATGGACTGGAAGGAAAACAAACAAACAAAAAACACACAAAGACATTTTTTAACACCGCTCTTCCATCTTTTATTCATTAACACTTTAAATATTCATTGTCATGATCTAAAAGCTTAAACAAGGTGTCTGACCTACTTTTCACTTCTCTATACAATTTTCCTTAAGCCCATGTGGTTTCTACCAGTTACCCCTCACAATCAAATGTTTGCTTTTTATTTAGGGTTTAAGTAGATTCCTTTGAGCAGGGGCTAAAAGTCAAAAAAATAAAAATAAAAAAAATTAAAAGATCAACCACCCATCCCTCCCCAAACTAATCTTCCATGATCTTGGGAAGGAGAAAAGGTATCTCCACAGCAAACTTGTTTTGAGAGAGAGCACACGCACGAATGCGCAAAGCAGCATATGCAGGGAGCGCAGAAAACAGGTTTTCTCCCAGAAAGAGAAGACACTGCGCTATCACGTCAGGTGTCCCCACCACACTCACCACGTTGTCAGCTGCCATCTTCGCCTTCTCAAGCATAGTGGAAGCTAATCCGATCAGGTCCTCGGTGTCCTCCACCCGCTCCCGGGCTTGCTCTGCGAGGCTCTCTGTCTCCCGCACCGTGTTCTGGATGTTCTGCAGCCTGCTGAGCTGACTCACTAGCGTGCTGTTGATGTCTTTCAGACGGTCCATGAGGCCCTGATCTACATCTGAAACATATGACATAAAATGGAGGAAGCAAAATTAATTACAGCAGGAAGAGAAGTTACAGCAGCAGCTTACCACTGTAGGCAACATGTGGGTAGGTTAATCCCCTATTGAAAGGGGACTAGCAAAATCATTTACTAAGTCGGCCAGCTAGCTTGAGATCAAAGTCATCATCAGAATGTGCATAAAATATAAGAAATGAAGAGTCATTAACTACTAATAAGACAACCCTGCTGGGCGTTTTAACGGACACCAGTGGGGGATTGTGTGTTCAGAATCATGTTATGCCTCTGCCTTTGATAAAGAAGGCAGAGCTCTCAAGAGGTACGAGACATCTACTTTCCCAATTCTCTTTTAGCTCTACTCCTAACAAGGCAGGCAAACATGAGAAACAGCAGACTATATGTTACCCTCCCCTTCAGGCAAAAGCGAATGGTGGCCCCCAAGCCACACACAGTTTCCATAGTCTCCATATAGAGCAGCTACATAATAGCAAACCTATTGCAAACTCCTCCTCAAACCAAAGAAATGACAAAAGCTGGCAAAACAGAGGATCCAGCCTCGGTTCTTCAGGCTGTAGGACATATCAGCCCAAAATTCTAGACCACCAGGTAACTCCCCATAACGTTGCCTTAATAATGGAGCCATAAAGCACAACGAGTAACCAGAGCGGAAATAATTTTTTTTGTTTTGTTTCTAAGTGGGAGAATTACTAATAGCTGCTGTGCAAGCAGAAGTCTGCATGCTCCCAAAACTAATATTTTTCACAAGTATGTTGCCTTGACCTTGCAGCACATCCTATGTGTTGAACGTGAACATTTAACACATTTCAAAAATACATTAGAACTACTTATCAAATAGAAAAACACAAATAGGTACCACAGGTGCACACAGCTTCCCATTAGCGTAGCTTTTGCATTTAGCTTGCCTTTTGCTCAGGAAAGAGGTAGAAAGCAAGATTAAAAAAAAAAAAAGAAAAAAGAAAAAAAAACAACAAATCACAAAATCTGATCCATTCCCTCACCTTTCTACCAATACTCACCCTCCTATCCGCTCTATAGGATGTTATCTAAGCGCAGGTGCCAAGCAGGCAGCATAAAGCTACCCCAGCTAAAACCAAGAAGAATTTCACTCATCATTCCCATCAGTGGAAATCTTCCCAAGCACATATCTGATGGGCATACGAGACCTGGGCGGATGCTGAACGCACGCTTTGTGCTGACTCAGCCTGCCACCTCTGAACCACTCCATACAGCCCTGGCACTCCGAAGCCCCAAACCCAAGCGGGGTGAGAAGGTACACAGGAGCGTGCACTGGCTCTTAGACTTCAAATCCAATCACCCATGACCGATCTGTTCGGCCTGCATTAGTACACGTGGCTGATGCGTTTATTCCGTCTGCTTACCTAGGAGACGCAGCCCTCCTCTGGCACACCTGGTTATATTTACACCGCTTGATCAGTTCCAGCAGTACAGCACAAGCAGGCATGAAGCAATCTGTCCTTCCAAAACACCTGCCAGCAGCAAACCCTACAAGTTCAGCTTCCCTGGAAACGTGAGTACCAAGGGCAGATCACACCTGATCTCTCTTCCCTATGCTGACTTCCCACAAACAGCGAGGTTCTGATTACCACAGATCCCCATGAGCAGGGAAGGGATTAGGTTAGTAATGGGATGTAGACCATGGCTCTGTTCCTCAGGGCACAGCAGAGCTTTTTCCCCGTTTCCCAAAAAGGGGACAGCTTTTTCCGAAGTGGTGTCAAATTAGTGAACGAACTCCCAGAGGAGCAGTGAGAGACCACCTGTTACTGCAAAACCTAAGGAGTCTTCAATTTGCTCCTCTCCAGAACGCTTATACATTGAAAAAAACCCTAACTACAAAACACTGTCACACTGCTTAATGCCCTGTTCACAGACATCCTACAGTAAAAGGTGACAGTACAAGAAACTCTCTGAAGCAGAGTTTAACAAGAAAAGTCACTTGTCCTTGAACTATGATCAGTAGCTGAAACAGATAGCTTCAAGGCACCACAATAACACTTTTCAGAACATTATAAATTGTATGGTGGGATAATTAAGCTTGCCAGTAGGTTTTCAAAGTTTTCATTCTGGTCACTGATGATATCCGAACAAGAAATGCTTTATCCCAAGATTTCTGGAAAAGTTCATAAGCAGCTTAAGCTGCATTTGCTACGGGTGAAAGCTGCAAAAGCACACAGAGACACAGCTGCCTGTGTACTAGAGAAGTCTTCAGCTTGCTTATACAATGCTCATACAGTAAAGTAGTAAAAAGCTCCTTTGCATCTGGAAAAGAAGATAACACATAACACTGACTGCTCTGAACAGAGCTAGAGGCAGATCTTTATTTTGCATATATTAGAGACCGCTAGGAGAACAACGGGGGAAAAAAAACAGCCGTCGTTGTTTGGATAACAACGCGTAATGTCTCAGTGGTATTTGAAATATCTGTCTGTCCTGACGCATGCACAGTATAGGCTTGAAGTAAAAAGCTCTGCGTCCTCAGGGAGCAGGAACATAAAGTAAAGAGCTAATTTCATGTCATTCCGCATCTGATCAGTTCAACTTACCTTTGCTGTTCTGTGCTTCTTGGAGCAAATCCATAACATCTCTTTCTGCCTGCTTTAATCTCTCTTCAAAGGCCTGATCAGTTACAGTTTCTTCTCCTGTACCAAGGTTTGCTATAAGGTTTTCTAGCTCCTGCAGCCTCTCTCGCTGCTCTGCCACCTATGTGAAAGGGACAGAGAAGAGATACGGGGCAAACTGCGTTAAAGCTTTCTGATTTCAGCAGGTGTCACTCAGACACTACAGAAAAGCCACTGTATGAGCAGGTATAGTGTGGGCCTGCCTCTTACCAGAGTCTGATATCATCAGCGAGAAACATCAGAAGTACACACTACTGTTTTCCATCGACTGTGGCGGTAACAGCAGGAGACAAACAGAACGCTCACGTTCATGGACTTACCTTGTCTTTTACTAGTCTGTAACACGCAGGACACTCTTGACATCCTGGCCACGACCGATTGTAGAAATAGTTCTCTTCACACTGGTCACAGCGGTTCCCCACAAAGCCTTCCTTACACTCACAGCGACCATTCTCCCTGCACTGCAGGGAGTGTGAACCTTCAGGATCACAGTCACATGCTGCAGGAGAGTTAAATTTCAGTCAAACCAGAAGAGAGGCAGGAATACCCTAAACTGCAGGCCGTTCTGCGTAAAAGCACTACGGCACCAGCACAAGGCTGGAGTCTTGCTCCTGATCTGCACACTTCCACACACGCAGCAGCACACGCTTTCTAGTTAGACCGAATATTCATTTCACGTTAGACAGCATTAGCGGTCTTGCTATTGCCTCTCTGAGGAAGCATTCTAATTTTCCGCCCATTCAATTGTAACCAATTGCAATAAATTTTTCTGCTCTTTAAGGGCAGGGAAATCAGAAATAAGATTTGGACGATATTGTTTTTGCGTCACGCTAACAAGACGCTACCCCTCAAGACTGAGTCTCTAAGTTAAGGCCATTTCCAGAGTAAAAGCACAGAAATTTAAGAACGAAGAACAGGACTATTCTGGGACAAGATTCAGAGCAAATATTAGGTATTTACTTCTCTTCGGTGTAAATAAGTCAATACAATCAGAGTTCTTCCAATCTCAAAGAAAAAAAAACCACCAACAACAAACAAACGAAAAACTTGCAGATTAACCCAAAAGATAAGCTATTGCACACAGACCATAATTCACTGTTCAGGGTGTGGATACAAAAACGCTAACTTCTGTTGTGATGAAGAGAGGGACAGTGAAGGGAGAAAGTACTTTCTCAGAAGCAGAGGGAAGGAAAGGCTGGTTGCACAAAGTCCCTCCCGTCTGCCTCGTTCCAGCATCTCAGACTTACGTTTGCAGCCTTCAGGGCTGAATCCAAAGTGGTTGACCTCGCATGCGTCACAACGCTGGCCTGTGATGCCGGGCTGGCACTCGCACTGCCCTGTTCGTATGTCACACTGGCCGTTGGTGGAACCCAGCGCGTGGCAGTCGCACCTAGGGAAGTCAGCCGCATGTTACAGGGTAACACAAACAGGAGGGCATGTGTGAAGCACTTATCTGAAAGAGCCCTAGTGAGAAAAGCCAACGTTTTCCACGCAAAGCAAGCGTCACTTTTCTTGCTCTACTGATGCAGAAGGCAAGGCATCAAGTCTCTGAACTGCTCAAGGTCACTCGGTGCCTGAACTAAAAACAGAATCCAAGCGCCCCTGCTACCAACCATCAAGCAATCACATGATCGTTTTCTATTTAAAACCCAGATTTAAAGCTATTTATAAATTAGGCTTTTTGTACACCCATCATAGCTGTTCCTTAACTCCTGTTCTTCCCCACCCTTAGCAGCATCCATGAGGAATACCAGTAGCTTATGACAAACACTTGTACAAAAGCATTAAGACAAAAAATTCCCTGCACCTGGTAACTGCAGATCCTCCAAACCATGCTCTTTGCCACAAGCAGAGATAGACGTTACCTCTCACAGCCACGTCCGCTCTGGAGGTTATAGAAGCCAGGCTCACAGGCGCTGCAGTCCCTCTCAGTGACATGAGAGAGGCACTCGCATTGCCCAGTCACTTGATTGCAACTTGTCTGCTGATTCACCGTGCCATAGGGGTTACAATGGCAAGCTGCAAGAAAAGGAACAGGGAAATGCACATAAACATTAGAAGCTCCTTGTGATGTTAGTACTTGGCTAACCAGAGTCCCCCTAAACAGACCTCAGAGTTTGTGAATTCAAAACCAACTGCAGCCCAGCCCGCACACCGCGCTATTTTTTGTTTTGATGACAGTAAGTATGCTACAACTACAAGTGTTTTAGCCATCTACAATCACCAAACCATAATAAACCACTAATTATTCCTGAAACCCCTGAATACAGCAACAAAACATGACCTTTCTCCTGACACATCACTGCAAAAAGGCAGCTCTCTGGGACAAAAGAAATTCTTCAACAAACGGCTCTTACCTCTGCACTTGTCTGCAGGATTGGAGGCCAAGGGGTTCCCAAAGAAGCCCTCTTTGCAGCGGTCACAGTAGAAGCCAGCTGTGTTGTAGATACACTTCAGGCATTCACCTGTGTGGCGGTTACAGTTCCCCACGGCGTTGGGATCAATGTTATCATTGCATTGGCAGAGACGACAAGGCCTCACAGCACCATTTTCACCCAGCGGGTCTCCAAAATAGGCATCGTCACACAACTCGCATCTTTTACCTGGGACATGACAAAGACGCATATGCTACAGCATAAGGCCTTTTGCTACAGTCTCACCTGAACTCCCTTTACAGCCCTTTCTGAAAAGGGAAACTCTTGGGCATATTTGCTTTTTATCTTTGCGACAGGAACGGACAGGTACACGGGACTACAGATGAATTCTTCCCAACCTTTAGCGTTTGGGCTGCTTTTGCATCGTCAGACTGAACTGGAACCTTGGCCATTATGAAATACTTCAGCTCCCCCTCTCCCTCCCTCCCAGCCATCCACGGTAAATCCTATTTGTTGTAATTTGTTGTTAACTTAAAAGTCAAAGCAGGCAGACAGAATTGCACAAGGCATTACAGCTACAGGAAGCCATATTGCCAACAAGATAGCCAAACAATCCCATACGGGAGCCTGACAATTTGCCAAACCCTCCTTGGGCAGGCACCAAAGCATTTATTTCAGCAGTTTTCTAATTCTGTGCCTCTCCATAGTAATGGGTGACCTTCATCCGTTCCACCTCTTAAGAATCTTTCATGGGAGAAGTACAGAAATCTTATTAAAGATATGACCTGGGGATAATATGCTTTGTGCCTGACGCAGAACTTGTTCTAAGCATCTGAAGCATTTACAGGTATTCTGTACTGTGGACTCCTTCAGGCCAGGCATAAATCCAGCAGAAAAGCCTGGAAGCTGCCAATCATTTTAAGTCTTATTTGCTGGTTGCAGACAAAACAAAAGGCTCTTGTTAACAATTCCGGCATTTGCCCAGACTGCCTAGTTTATCATTGAGAAAAACCATCATTCAGTACCTGTTCACACACTTCTCTATGAAACTGCTGAGAGTATGAATTTGGTCTTGTACTTTCTGATCAGTATTCATGAGTCACTGCAGCCTTTTTCCTTTTTCCAGGGAGGACGTTAGCCCTCCCACGGCGAGCATTCCACAGTGCCTGTCAGGCTGGCAAATGGGAGGCTGGGAGGCGCATCTGCTAATTTTATTTCAGTCTGAGCCACTCTGCTAGCTGTTTCTGACCTATCCTATTTTCTGTCCCACCCCACCCAGCACCAGACAATTAATAGATCTCTATTAGAAGTTAGCATGGGTCACATATGTAGGGCAGAAACTTTCGGACTTTGCAAAGATAAAAACTTTGTTACCCTTTCCTGCTGGAGAGCAGAGCATAAAGAACACAAGTAACCCTGAGCCTCACACCTGATAGAAAATCAGGCTGGGAAAGGGAGAAGCAAACTGGATTGGAATCAGAAGACACAGCACTTTTCACAGTGCCACTCTCAGCGGTTCAGAGAAGCAGACCTGGCAGCAGAAGCATTTCCACAGGCCTGTGAGATGTAGGGGAAAAAAAAGCCCTTTTGAATAAAGAACACACCTGTAGTACCAGCGGGGCAGTTGGTGCACACAACCTCCCTTGTGCGGGGCACAATGGCACAGCTCGAGCTGCCTGGACACGGACAGGGCTGGCAATCTGAGGCAGTGCCTGCCGTTGCATCTCCGTAATAGCCATCGCTGCACTTCTCACAGTGAGAACCTGCTGTGTTATCCCTGCAATTGCACGCGCCTAGAATAGAGAGGGATATGTTTTTGCTTCTCTTCAGTCACTGCGTTCATCTGACATAAAGCGGAAAGCAGCCCTCTTGTCATTCCCCTCTCTGGCAACCCTTCTTACCCGTCTCTGGCTCACAGGTCTCGCTATGTCCATTGCAAGTACAAGGCACACAGGGACTGTACGGCCCAAGGCTAGGCGTCTCTCTCCGGTAACCAGAGGAGCAGCGCTCACAGAACTGCCCCTCGTATCCTGCCGGACAGGTACAGCTCTCCACCCAGGGTGCCGGCGAGCCGGGCCCAGGGCGAGCACTTGTGATAGTAACATCATCCAGGTGGCCAGCACCTGGAAGGGACGGAGACGGGAAATGCTTTGTAACCACACAGGCCCTTATCAGCGTTTCACCTAATACAACTGAACTGTGTAAGAGACAGACAAACATGTGCTTGCAGTTGATAAGGAAGATCAAGAAGCAAAATTCTCCAAGAAAGTTTAAACAGATAAGAAAAGATGCAATATAGCTTACAAAGGGTAAGTACAGGGCAAGAAAATCAAGAACAACAATCCCTTCGCACGAGGGAGGACAGCAAGCAGAGAGCGCAGCTTACCAAAGATGCTCCAAAAAATACAGAGGAGGAGGCTGAGAACAGAACGTGCAAGAGTAAGTATTGTCAGTTAAAATATGTTACACTTTGCATACATACGGTTTCTATTTCCAAATCAAACACCAAAAATAATTCACGTTTTTTCTAGGGAAGACAAACTAACTCTCCTGCAATTTTATCACATCTTCTCTAACACAGGTTCCGAACACCATGCCTTAAGGCAAACTCTTCAGCTACCGTCTCTCTGCCCCCCTCCCCTCAACTGCTCCTTCCTTTGGCATTGCACAGCTACCTTTCTTCCTCCCAGGCCTTCTCCTCGAGCAGAACTGTGTCTGGATGCAAAATAGCTGCTCTTTACGTTACCGGAGGACGTTTGTGTCAGTGCAGTTAGTTGCTCTCGGGCACTGAGCAGAACCTCAGCTCTGCATATGAGTGGCAGCTGCAACGCTCAGGAGACAGCTTGCTCCGCACACTTCTTCCCCATTTCCTAACCCTACGCTCCTCTTCTACAAACAAACTCCACTTAAAACACTCGTAGCTTCCCCATCTTCCTTAAATGCAAATTCCTTCCTTTGTATCTACTTATTTTGTTCAGACAACCCTTCTTCACGTGCTGTCCAAGGACACAGATACTTTTGCCTCTCAATAGCGCCCGATTTTCATAAAGCTTCATTATAGGACATTTTCAATCAAGTTCTGCACGTGCAACACTTTTAGGACCTGGTCCTTCCCATTTGGAAGGTCAAGAGGCAACCAGGAAACAGAGGGGAGATAGCTGTCCCAAAATGCAGCAGAAATAGAGACCAAGTATTCTGAAGATTCCCTACATTTCTCCTTCCATTATCCTTCAGAACTCTGTATTCTGTATTTCTACAGATCTAGAAGTGACTGGCTGCGGAACACAGCAAAGAATCCTATCTGCTCCAAAGAGAAAGATCAGTAGGTGATGAAAGCTTAGCTTCAAGACTCTCAAAGGCAGCAAATTTTTCCACTCCTCCTCCCCAGAAGAAGTTGTTAGGCAAGAAGGCCAGATGAAAAGCAATCGGCACAGACTTTGTCAAACAATTCGCTATAGCTATATATGACCAGGTCCTGCAATAATACAACTCTGAAGCACGGGATAGACAGGTCTCCTTCTCTCCTCTCTCCATAGGTTTGCAATGCTCTGCTCAGCAACTTACTTCTCTCACTGTATGTCCCACGAATCTTGATAGAGGTCAAATTGTGAAGCAGCTTCTGGAACTCAAACGCAGTAAGAGTAGGCCTCCATGGGTAATCTGTGGCCTCATGGAGCCTAGGGAGAAGAGCCACGCATTATTTCCAAAGCTTTTACATGTTAACAGCTGTGCCCTTTTAAAGCATCGTTTCCAACAAGAGCATGCTATTACAACATACTTTGCATATCATTATGCAATGCTACTAAATAGCAAGCTTCAAATCAATCTGATAATTTTTGCTCAAAAGAGCAGTCTTAATGCTATTTGTTTTCCTAAGAGCTTGGAGGCCAGGGTGTACCACAGGCTAGGTTCCAGCTGTAATTCTTTCCTTTCTGTCACAGTGCTTGGAAAGCCCTCTCACCTGAAAGCGTACGTCAGCATGTTCTCACTGGGGTAGGAGTTGCCCTGAGCAATGAGAGGCACTGACGCTCTCAGCCCAGCTCCTTCCAGTACCAGGTCCTCTGCAGAGAGACGAGTGTCCCGTCTGTCAACTCGAAAGGAAAAGGTCAAGTTTTGACCATAACTCAGAACCTGGTTGCCCAAAAACTTGCCTGAAACAGAAACAAACCCTTACAATTAGGAGGCAGAGAACTGAAGGGTTGCGAACAACAATACAGAAAATCTCACTTCTCGAATGACCTACGTGGTGCAACAAAATACATGGGGAAATAGCTGTCCGAGATCACAGAGATATCCTGGGTCTCTGCGCTCCACTGGAGTAAGACTTCTGAGCCATCGCGTTGTTCAGCATGCCACTCATCCTCTCCTGAAAAATCAAATACGCAAGAATCAACACTCTCGGAATACGCATCTTTGTGCGGACTACCCGCATCATACTGCGCACTACTTTTATATAACTAATCTGTTTTAAATGCTGGCACTGACTTTAGAGAGTTTGTACCGCAACTGTGCAAAAGAGCAAGGATAGCAATATCAATAGTCCAATTTAAGCCTATAATCGGAGCGCTGACTTGAACCTTATGAATTTTTTCAAGACTATAAATATTACTCTTTTGGAATTTTGATTTCTAAGGAGCAGGGATGGTAAAAACCTGCAAACACCTAGGATTTGATGAAGTTTCTCAATCCTTAGCTGAAAAGTTTCAGCCTTCATAAAAACTGTTCTCCAGGGGAATTTTTTAATTAAATAATTTCTTTCCAAACGACACAGAATTGAAGCATTCTTACACAGCAAAACGTAAAACTGACTGTATGGAAAACAGAATTTTGTCCAGTTTGCAGATCCAGAAACAACTGGTGTTTTAATTCCAGAGCCACGTAACTCAAAAAAAATCTAAAACATTCATAATCCTTCTCAATCATAAATTCTGATTTCATTCTAAAATTGAGAAAGTGTCCCCTTCCCAGCACTTTTTTCCGTGTGTGTGTGTGTGTGTGTGTTTTGTTTAAGGGTTTACACCTACAACACTCCCTTGCAACTGTACTGTGTACGTAGACACAACGTGCAATAAATGTCTGAGGTCAAACCTGTGAACTCATTCTTCCCCAAGTGAATAAACATGCTGAAGACTGGGAAGCTCCTGTTAATTTCAATAACAACTCAGCACTTCTGAAAAAGAGATCCTGTACCTGGCTACTCAAAGTTTGAAGCGCTACACAAGGAGAAAGGAACAGAAGGTTTTTGTTTATGACATGAGTCTACAGTCCAATTTAAGATACAAAGGAAGGCTCAATTTTACCAAACTGGAAGTCAGAAGTGATGCTGTAGATACTGTAACCAACGGCATTGGTGCAGACTGAAGAGTGTCCAAAACAGAAGCAGGGAGTACAGCCTCTTGGATTTGACGGATCCAGATTGAAAAATCCAGGTTTGCACCTGGAGACGTGAAAGAAAAAAGTTCATTTCCCTGATGTCTATTCCAGGCCACTGCCTGTATGCTTCTCAGTCTTCAAACAAAGCCACAGGAGAAGAAACTCACCTCTCACAGTTGAATCCTTCAACATTGTCCTTGCAAGCACATCGTCCTGTTTCAATGTTGCAGTCATCTGTGCTGCCGGCAGAATTGCAAGAACAGGGCCTGAAAAAGTCAGGAGAAAAGACAATTCATTAAGAATCACACAGAAAACTCGCAGGAAAAAAGGACATAGTTTTCCTTTCAGAGACTTGTTCCTTTGTCTCAGAGCAGCAGTCCCTCTTACCTGCACCCAGCCTCAGAGAGGGAGTGGAATCCCGGCTGGCACCGGTCACACTTATCACCCATCACTCCAGGTTTGCAGCTGCATCGGCCATAGCTATCGCACTGAGTGCTGAGGGAGCCTGTGGGGAAAGGAAGAACAGGGACCTTAGCAGAGCCACAGGACTCCATTACCTGTGATTTTTTAGCTTTATGAAACAGGCAAGGCATACAAGAAGAGAAAGTCTGAAATGTAGCTTCAAGGTTAAAAATAACTGCTTACCTAAAGACTTCCTCTATTTCACATAAAGCCCCTGTAGATGTTTTACCCTAACAGTCCCTGAGGGATGAATCATAGCACAGGATGGTTGAGGTTGGTGGGTTGGAAGGCACCTTTACAGATCATCTAGTCCAGCCCCTGCTGCTCAGACAGAGTCACGTAGAGCAGGCTGCCCAGGACCATGTCCAGAGGGCTTTTGAACATATCCAAGGATGGAGACTCCACAACCTCTCTGGGTAGCCTTTTCCATATCTAGTCTTCCAGAAGGAAACTATTTAGCTTTAAGTATTCTTACCCACTACCTTTTTTATATATAAATATAATTTTAACTTTTCATTGCATTATCCTCACTATTACGTTTGCATGCCTTCTGTTTTTTTTTTTTTCCCCCCCCTCCAACGCACCCGTTCTGAGGTGAGCTTCTCTAGGTTTCTTGTGTTCTCCCTACTCACCATCTCCTCTTTGTCAGTGGGTATTCTGATCTCTCCCTTTCATATCTACTCCAATTTTATCCTTTGATTTCCAAGTTGCATTTAAAGATTAAACAGTCTCCTGTGAGGAAAAGGCTGTGTGTTCCACTATTAATCCTAAAAACTTCTATGGCAAAACTCTAACTTTTTAGCAGGGCATTTTCCTCAAAAGTAATACTCTAGTAAAGTGGACTTGCACAAAACAAACAACAACAACAAACACCACCACACACAACACCACGTTGTTTAATCCATGGTAGACAGAATGTTTTCTCCCAGGCACTGATTCAGCTAGGAGCCCAGAAATTGTCAGCACTGCAAGAGTTAACTACCAGGAGAAAAGCATATTAAAATACAAGCATAGTTTCTTTTTTCCACTTTGGTCCACTCTTAAAAGATTACAGCAAAGTGAAAAGTTATAAGAGGATTAGGCAGACAGAATTATTAGGATAAAAGAACTCACAAAACCTTTACCATATACAGACAAAGTTCACATCCCCTTCGCTGTCCAACTTAGGATTATTTAGGAAAAAACAGTACTCAGATAAAAAAAAAATCAACCTCAACCAATCCAGGGCCTTCAAATGCACACTGGATACCAACGTGTCACAGGATACAAGCTGGATGTCTAAGTTATAAAGCCCTTCGAAATTTGTCCCTGAATACCTGAGAAATCTTCTCTTTTCCTTTGCCTCTTCCCACCCACTTTCCTGACTGCCTCAGCTGACACCAACAGTCAGCACAAACGCATCTTAAAATAAGGTCCAACAACAGGATCTGGGAGAGCGGACAGAGGAAGAAAGAGGCCTTTCTTGGTCAAAAGTTTCACAACTGTAGAACTCCCTTCCCAAATTAGATAGGAGATGTATTATGCCAGACCTCTTGGTGGCTGCTTTTAGGGCATGCTGCAAGCAATTATTTATTCCAGCTACTCTATTTTGGAACCTCACATCATATCTTACTGTTACCCTTTTGTTTGCTTCATTCTTATTTGTTGTGGGACTGATGTAGCTACGGGATCACTCTATACAGTTCAAGTGGTTCCCTTGACTGCACAAGACTTGTTCTAATGCCAGATCTTTTTTAAAGGAATTCAAACTACATATTTTGACTTGGTTTCCCCCCTCCTTTTTTTTTTTTTTTTTAAAGTTTCACTGGTTTATATTTATAGTTCTTAGATACCAAGTACAAAAAACTCTGATGCTGCTGTAGTTCACTACAACTCTTTAGTATGAGCCATTTCCAGAAACATGCAGTCATGTCATCTTGTTTACTAAGAGCTTAAATAAGATCTGTAGTGCTGGGTGTGCCCAGGGTAACAGATACGAAGGGGGGAAAAAAACCTATTCTAGAACACATCTGAAGGCATAAATGCTGCAGAGGTAAACTATCTGCCTCATGGACTTTATTTTACTCACCCCGATAGGATCTGGGGATAATTATAACTAAAAAATACAATCCAAGAAACATTTCCTCTGCTGGGGGGGTGGAAGAGGGCGCAGCACAGCAGAGCTTTTTTCACCATAGTTTCAAGTCAGCTGCATAACTGAGGGAAGAGCTATTTTTTGTGCATGGAAGCTTAAAAGCAGAAGTGTTTTCTGTTACTACTTACCAACTGGATTACAATTACATGGTAGACACCCATCCTCACTCCCAATGCGATAGAAGTTTTCCCTGCACCTTTCACAGTTGGCACCGTCAGTATTATCCAGGCAGCCTACGCAGTGACCACCGTGGCCTGTCGAGCGGTACAGCTCAGGGTCAAAGTAACATTCCTGCGACCTTCCATTGCAGTTACAGGCTGGGGGGGGGGGGGAGAGGGGGAGGGGGAGAGCGGGAAAAACAAAACCCACAGGTACTGTCAGTTTACAGCATGTGAAGTTATCCTACCTCTGACAGTCACAAAACCTATTAGATGAACTTCAGCAATAAGTTGTACAGGAGCTGGCTTAAGAGCATCTGACTCTTTGACACCCAGAACCCCTTAAGGCATTTGTGCAAGGAGAGAAAGGGAAAAGACACACGGTTTCATGATGGTTGGACATGAAGAGGAGGGAGCACTGGAAATGATGAGATTATCTTGAACAACAAAGCCAGGCTACATAACCTCCTCCTGCCATGCCAATCATCAGCACAGACTCCAAGCATTTTGATTCCTTTCCTCCACAAGGCAAGAGGAGCAAGCCTTCATGACACCAATTTTCCTGGACACCACCAACAGGTGTGTCGGGAAGAAAACTATTTTCTGCTCTGCTCCTCTACCAACTGGCTGTGGTTTCCAGTCTTCAGGCTACCTTCCCACACAGCAAAGCTCAGCTCAGTTATGCAAACAAGCATGGGAAGATAACGGTGAGAGCTGCCTCCCTGCTGTACGTTGTGAGAAAAGTTTCTTCTCTGAAAGCAGACAGATTACAAATTCCTTCTGTCTAGGAAGCAGGAGAGAACAAGACACAGGTTTCACTGGTCTGTCAAGGGAAGCCACAGGCCTTGACCGGACAGCTGGGACCTATCAGTACACATAAAGGTCAGACAGGAAGAAAACTTTCTGTCTGAAAAAGCTTCCCTGTAAAGTAAACGACCAGGAGTTGCGGTCTGTAACACAAGACCGAGGAAAAAAAAAAAATTGGCGTTCAGTTGTACATGTAGGCATTTGAAGCCCAGAACTGTCGCAACAGTCTCCAAATTACATGAAATAATTGCAAAAAGCAAAAACCTCAAGCACCAGAGGAAGTCTCTGGATACCGGATCTGCTTTTTAAAGGACAATTATACCCCAGCACACCAAATTCAATTTTTTCCCTAAGGATCCTATAAAGTACAGGTCCATATATTTCTATTGCACATCTTTTTCCTAAAGCTTGCTCCCTTCCTTCTCTAGGAAGGGGATGTCCCTTCGTAGAAAGGGACCCCTGTCTACGAAAAAGCTCCATCAGGATAGGAATGCAATTACTAGCACTCCCATGAAACATCTTTGCTGATAAGCACCAGAACTTGTGCTTCAGTTCTATTTTTTGCCAAGGTCTCCAGTTTGCCACTTCATAACCTGCAAGAAGGTTGGAGCGCAGACGTTCTGCATATCCTATGACATACCGGTATGCAACCGCAGAGGTCTGAGCGCATTACTCAAGTGGCACATCCTAGCCCCACGTTTACAGATCTAACATCATGTTTCCAGAAATCAGGCTATCCTTTGGCTTGAGTCAAAGTCTATTGTCCATTCATTAAGAATTAAAGGCACCTCTCCCCTGGCCTTCCTACGAGATGGTGCAGAAGTCTGTTAGCACAGACGTCATGGTGAAATGTAAGAGTGCCACACAACCTCCAGGTGCCTACAAACCAGAACCTCCATGACAAACCCAAACAATACTCCTAGAAATATCTGGATGTGCTCAGAACAGCAAAAAATGAAACGCACTTTACTGCATTTTCACATCAGATTATACTCTGAGGCAAGGATCTGAGTTCACTGAGAGTGCCTTATTCGTACAGTTCCCTCAGGAGAATCTGTATGCCTCCCACGACACAACAACAGAAACAGCCTATCTGCAATCATTAGCTTCATCATCAAACCAGTACGACACACTGTTTAAATGACAGATCAAATACACCATCTGGTTATTTCAGTTATAGGTCTGCCTCAAAGGCAAGGAAAACTTTGGTCCTCTTCCTCTGAAACTGTGGACAGATCTTTGATAGAAATTGTGTTATTCAAATTCATACTTAAGGCACTCCATAACTTGAGATGCTTCCAGATGCTGTGCAGGGGTTTAAAGGCGTCTTTGTGACTTGGGAGCACAAATCCTACAGTTGGTCTATTGAATATGTACTCCTAAGTCACTAGGAAAATTGCATTCAAAACACTTAACACTGGCTAACTGCAGCTGAGACTTAAAGCAATGCGTGGTTGGCTTTTGGATGTCAACAGAGGCAGGGGAACAAATCCGTGAGAGATTTTCCTGTCAAACACGGTCACGTACGCAAACATTCATTGGCACTCTCTGCTGTTGCTCTTCTCCATGGACGATCATTGAAGAAAGGAAGACACTTTTCACAATCTTCCCCAAACGTGTTGTGTTTGCAGTTGCACGCCAGCTTCCCAAACTCATTCCTCACGCACTCGCTTGCGTGACCATTACATTTGCATCTGTTTAACAGGAGAAAGGAACAAACATTTCAACTCCAGAGATTTAGGTCACTCTCAGAGTAAACCAGAAAAGAAGAAAGCTCAGACGTGAAGACAAGACACATGGAAACAAGGCAAATTTGAAGGCATAAGGTCAGAGCAAAATTGATAACGCAACTGCTATGAAACCAATAGGTGTGGCATGACGAAGGCAGGCCTCTGAAAGTGCAAGAAGGTTAACCTCCAACTCCTCTAGAGTTAAGTGTCACTATAACAGCAGAGTAAGCTGAGCATAAGAAGCAAAAACTTTTATTGGCGATACAGTAGCGTATTCTCCATAACTTATCTCTCATGAGAGTCCAGGAAAAGATAGAAACGTTGGCTGTGTGCTATTCTTGCAACAGTAAGAAATTAAACAGCCCAGTCAAACCCTCCCTCCCTCGGCAAAACAGGTAAGGGCCACAATGCATTTCAAAGTGCCAGTTACATTGGGAAAACCAAAGGGGAGAGACAGGTAAGTATAGACATTGGACCTCCACAGACTGGTGCTGCAAACTATGCAAAGCCCCATATTGTCAAATCCTCATCTCAGGACTACTCTTTCCAAATGGTCTGAAACACCGCATTGGTCTCAACTCTGTTTATAAAAACAATTTAATGCCAAACAAATTAAAATTTAAAAAATTGTACTACAAGATGCTTTGGTAAAACAGAGAAGAGAACCACAGTATTGCACAATACTTCAGATTTTCTTCACAGGAGATACTTGCCAAAATATATGTAAAGCAGAGAATCTGAGGTTTTCAACTATTATTCTGGGCTACAGATACAGGTAAGGAACAATTACTAACCATATGTTGAACGCATACAAACAAATCACAAAATATTGGGTATACAAAAGTTAGGTTTTTTCTTTTGCTTTGTGTTCTTGTCACTCACCCCCATCTCTTAGGGCACAATACAATCAAGGAAAAAATATTCAATCTCTGCCTACCCTACAATTTATAGCCCCAAGAGGTTATACGCAGTAAAGAGTATTTACAAGCTTCGTAAGACTTATTTTACTGCATTTTTGGTTTAGGACAGTCAACAAGGACCAGAGCCTAATAGTACCACATCAGTATAATCAAAATCTTTATAAAGTACTGCAGTAATCCTGCCTGACAGGTTTAAATAATACAGAGGTTTATTGTTTACTCACCTACCACCCACAGCAAAATCAGAAATCGCATAGTAATAGGACTTGAGAACTTTTGGGTCATTGAAAACTTCATCTCCGAACGTGTTCAAGCGATTGAGGCTCACTCTAATATCAGTAGCCGTCACCCATTCCTACGGCAGACAGAAAACCCATCAGATTAAACAAAGACACCCCTCAAGTACATATTAGTATTATATGTAAATACAACTGCTAATGATAAGTTATGCCAGTAGTCATTCAATTAACAAGTTCCTAGGTAATAATTTTCGCCTCTGTACCTTGATCTCACACATCCCTCCCCAAGAAGCCTTACATCTTGTCCTCTTGGTTCAGATGCATTTTCCAGACTCAACATCTATCTCTGCACCCTCTTTCCAATGCCTTGACTGCTCTCAGCTGAGAAGCAGTGGGTAACGTCTTCAGCAAAGATTGACACACAGGTAATTCTACAGGATGGTTAATCTCATCTAACTAACTGCAGTTTTCTTGCAAAGCTGTACAACAAGGAAGGAAAAAGCCTTAGGGTACATTCAGCCTCGGATATACACCTCCAGATGCAAAGACCTAGACAGACAGATGAATGAGGGTGGGAGAGGCTGAGGAAGAAAAACAGACAGGCAGACCTGACTTAGAACACAAGAGCTTTTCATAATATTTACATAGCATCTTCAACACAGTATCCTATCCTTCTTGAGCAACAGCCAACAAATGCAGCCTGTCCCCAGCCACTGAATGTCCGTCCTTTGGATCTCCTTGTTTGTATTACAACTTTTGCAGAGCAATTTTCTTTCAAATGCCATAAAGAAGAACATGGGAAAAACATTCACGTATGTACAACTGCACTGCAGCTGTGTCACTTCTTCACTCGTGTAATAAGAATATTTGCTCAATTACAGAAATTGGCATAGACGTACGGAAATGCTGAGGAAAAAAAAAAAAGTGTTTACTTAAATCCTGAAAAGGAATGCCAGATGTTCATACATGTATTAGGCAAACTAGTGGTCAGGTCTTAATTCCTTACGCAGGGAAATTAATCACAAAATTATCCACCATGTCACTAACTTAAAATCTTCCCATTCATCTTAATAATCAGATCCTGTTCTCTGCAAGGTCTAGCTACAGCAACAAGGTCGCCAAACTGGTTCTTTTTCATTTCAGGAGTTCTTCTTTCCCATTCCTCTTCGTTTTTGATCGTGTATCCAAACCTCAGATTCTGCTTTTCTGCCTGCTGGTTGACAATCACAGAGACGCACCATCCCAGAACCTTTTGAGCGGTCACACCTCAGTGCGCTCTCTATACTACTTTAAGACAAAAGGGAAGAGAGGCTGCTTTGAGGGTCTGCCGATTATAGCTCCAAAAGGAAGGAGGTGAGCCTGATGGGGAAAATTCTACTGCTTTAGTTCTTTGTTACAGTATAATCTGGAGAAGTCATCAAGCAGCATAAAGAAAACAGTGAGCAAAGCAGATACGCTGCTGCTCCTGCTATGCCCCATACCACCACCCAACTAGCATTGTGAATGTTGCCAGAGACAAGCAAAAAACAAACAAAAAACCCAACCCCATCCCCAAACCACTAGTAAAGGAAACTAAATAAATAAAAATCAAGCCCCACCCCACCACATATAAAAGAGCAAGTAAAAGTTTCAAATAACCTTTGCTTTGTTTAGAAGAATCTCACATCAAATATCCATCTGATATAAGTTTTATCTTCCCCTGCCCTTATATCTGAAACTATAGTAAAAGGCCCACAGCTCCTTTCTAAACTAACAGAGGCATGCATCCATTTTCTAAAGATTTTCATGGTACGTAATGACAAGTCATCCTTGGTGCCACTGATTTTGTTTTGTACCATAAGCTGACTTACAATAAAGTCAAGAGTACAATCAAAAGCACTTCTGTGGATTGCTCATACTGACTTACCTGCACAACGGCTGTTCGGTATGAGTTGAGAGCTACAGAATAGCCCATATGCAGCACAAGGCTCCTATGCGCAACGACTAAGTACAGAGATTCAACTCAGACCATCTAATTAACTCTTAGTCCTATTCACATACCTGTAACACAGGGCTGTTGTCAAAGTTATAGGCACTGGGACGCCCCTCTAGCGTTGAGAAAGCCACATTGCCCCCAGTGAGGGGAGAGATGTCACTGAACTCATCCGTGCAGAGGGCCTGCTGCTCATCCTCCCCAGTCCGAATAAAACCCCGATTGACTTTGTGGTACGTGTTCTCACAGGATCCGCTGTAATACTGGTAGGGCACCCACGGACCATCTTCCCTGGTGCGTTTGTAGATTGCAAAGCTCTCTGGCCGACTGGTGTGAAACTTCAGACGTACGTATGTGATGTCAAACGCCTTTCCTGCAAATAAGAGAATAAATCCGTAAGAAAAAACTCAAACAACTTAAAACAGAAAGAATGGAGAGCTGCAGTGTAGCTCATCTCTCTTCTAAAGAGAGAAGTATCTCCTCTAGTCCCATCAGTAGGGCTAGAAGCAACTCTTCCAGTCTTATCAGATGGATCAATGCAATGCATGCGCTGTATCTTCCAGCAAAGACAAAGCGAAAGAACCAAAGGCAGAACTCAAAGGCAGGCCGCGTAGAATCCAACTCCACCTCCAAATATCCAGCACGTTTACTAGTAGAGCTGCCTAGAGAAAAAAAAAAAACAGCTACTGATTCCTGTTCAACTACAAACAAAACTCGCTAGCTATGATTCTCTTATACAGACATCACTGACAAGTGACGTCTGTCCCAACAGGATGATAGCTCAGATCAGATATACCAATAGTTTGTGTGTATCTAAGGCCAGTTCAAGTTAATCACTCTACTGTGATTTAAGAATACTTCTTCTAGGCATGGGAGAAACCGTATTAACCAAAGAGGTAGAAGTCACACTGAAGAGTCTGTTTTGTACCTCCGATTCCTTCAAAATTAAACAGCAGCCAAAACCCTTTCTACTCGTGAAACCTTTTCCCCAATAATAGTCATTACTATTAGAACTAACGAGTAAATGATCTTCCACTTATTTCCCAGGAAAGACAAAACAAGGTTGAGGTTTCCTGACCCATATGATTAAAGTTTCCCAGATATTTTTCAGATCAACAAAGCGTAAAGATTTACAAGCTAACCACGCTCTCCCTCTCCCGTGAGGATTAACGTAAACCCACCTTTCTGCCCTCTATTTATCTCCTATCAGGTTTGTGGCAACCAGCAGATCCTCCTCCCTACTGGATTCTCTCCAGCAACTTGAACATCCACCCCCGTACACATAAACTAACCACCCAGGGAATTCACACCCCCCAAGAAAATATTTAACTTCTCCACATTCTGCTACATTCTTTTGGGTTGGTTGACAGAATTCCTGCACCAAAAGCTGAAATGCAGATGTTTCACTGGATGCCATTAGCATGCAATACTCCCGACGGAGAAATACCGCCTGCGTTAAGAGCTGTGGCCTGTGGAGGTGGCAGAACAGAACAGCGAGAACCCAGCCTTGGCTCGCCCCGTGCCGAGACACGACATTTGGCTGAAACCTCCTACGTGGCGTGGAGCTACGAGAAAACTTTTCCAACAGAATTACAAGCGCGTTCGGACATTGAGCTGTTCAGATACGCAAGTACTTCTGTTGTGGCGGTTTAAGAAATTTCAGCCGAGACTCCTGAAAAGACTTCCGCTACCATGCTCTCACGTCACGCTGTAGGGTAGTTACTGTTCACGTTTTACACAAGTCAGCATACGTTTGGTGGGTGTTTCCCCAGTAACAAGGTAAGGGGAAGATGATTTTTTCCAGCGGTCTGTTAAGAGGATTTTCTCCGCTCCTCAGGCGCTGAAGAGCTCCCTGCAGCCAGGCTTATTTGCAGCTGCGCCTCGGAGTGCCACCGGGAACGGCACTGCTACGCTCCCATGTGCCACGGGGAACAGCTAACACCACGCCAACGAGAGGTTACGCTTCACTACTCTGAACAGTTAAAACCATTAAGGGAAAAGGGCCATAAAACGCTTCAGTCACCTTCCTGCACCGGACTAGCTGGCTGCAAGGCAAGTTCCCAGGACGAGGTGTACAGCTGCATGCCAGCTGTTATTGTTCCACCTCGGCGAACAGACTGTGCACAGACAATCAAGAAATCCTGGAGCTAAATAAATGCTGGATTTTGGGGTAACTGGAGACAGACAACTGCCATTTAGGAAAACTAAAGGTACTCCCACTAGCACATGTAGGGAACTTGCAAAAACGACATTAGATTTATTCTGAACAAAGCCCTGGGGGTGCAGTCTCTGCCACGCTATTTCATTACCACCTCCATGAGAAATATCGTTCTAAGCGGAGGTTGTAGCAGCCACCGGTCGCTTCATTTAGAACAACAAAACTACTGGAAGAGTTTCAACTGATTGAGAAACAGATTTTCCCCATCTGTAGAAGCCATGCAGATTCAACTTCAATTTTTAAAATGGATTAACTACACTGCGTTGTGTGAACGCAGGGCTTTGCACCTGCTGAGCAGTGGTTTATTTCACAAAGTAAAGCAAACTAGACAGAATACGCCAGCAAGAAGAGTGCGTCTCTCAAAGCACGTAACCAAAACTCTGATCGCAATGAGAATCCAACTTCTATTTAAATCTTTTTCTTTAATTACTAAAAGGCACAGATTAAATCAGTTTGACTGCATGTAAATAGTTTGACTGTATGTAAATTAGGCTTAGAACGGCAGTTAATTAGTATCTCCAGAAACCCTCCTTCCTCCCATAGGGGGGATGCTGATCTGTGGGCGCACGCCTCCACCTCCGGCTGCTCGCTTCTTCGAGGGCTGCCCTGCTCATGGAGGCAGGGGCTCGCTCCACAGCGGGTACCTGCCAGCGCCAGAGTCAGCAGGGGGAGCTCAAATATTTGGTCTGCTGCACCTCACTTGGAGAGCCAACACTGACGGGTAAAGGCTCCCCGAAACGCGTGCTTTACAGCAGAAGAGCACCAATAGCCTAAGGAAGTTCTCCAGGGAAGACAATCACCGGGTTACAGACCCGAACTGAAGTTGGAGAAAAGGGGGTGGGAGGGCAAAAGATCGCCTTTCCCCCTGACTAGAAGCATATTCACTGCAAGTACCAGCTGCTTTGGGTTTTCTTCAACAAGGTGACAAACAGGAACAGAAAGAGAATAACACCGCAACAAGAAGGTAGCTCAATCCTGGGCACAAGTTCAAGCCTTGACACAGACTCACAGCTGGGTGAAGAGCGCATGGCCTTGAGAAGGCAGCGAGTGCGTGGCGGTCCGGGGCCAGGGACTCCCAGCGCTTGGATGCAAATCAGGAACCGCGTTTCTCCCTTGCGCGTCACCGGTTACACCGGGGCTGGCCTGCACGAGTCAGCCCCCACCCAACGCCCGGCTCCTGTGAAAGATGGACCTTTGTCCTTTTTGACTGCCAAGGACAGAATTAGCAAGGAAAGCACAGCAGCGGGTCCAGGATTTAACGTATCAGAAAAAGCCCAGACAGAGACACCTGAAAAGTTTACACTTACATACAACAAGGGAAAACCAACCAAACAAACAGTGTTTAAAGCCAAACAAATCTACCAATAGTCCATTCTACAAGAAGTACTATTTATGCGCGACATACAAGACAATTTGGACGTTGCAGAGATACAAATCCCCCAGTACTTCCCAGTCAATAGCCTTTACTATTTGTAGAAGATGTGAGGTTACAGACAATCCAAGCACGAGACTGGAAGCCAGATACTCACAGTCTGCGGCTCCTACTCAATACTAGCTCACTGTTGGTCTGTGGTCGGGTTAGTAACGCGACCTTCTTGCATACAGAAGACAACAGCTGGGAAGCAATGCTGATATTAACGTCCAACTGATCCCACAAGGGCTAGAAACTCCAAAGTATCTACGCTTAAGGTTTTAATGCAACTTGGCTTATTCTCCCCTTGCTGCTAAATACAAGTAAAGATAAATAAACTGGTATCGGTTTATTTGATGTTCTGTTTAACAGGAGGGAAAAAACCAACCACCACCACCACCTTACTGCAAGGCATCTAACAATGCTAAAAGGATTAGCCATAACCACACAGATTGCAGTTTTTATTTCCGGAACAGGTTAGCCAGTTATGGTTCTCCATCTTAGAAAGTACATAACAGAATACAAAAAAAAAAAAAAGAGAAATATCTTTTGTATGAGTCTCAATACAAAGCAAGGAGGAAGGTGAAGGAGGAAGAAGCATACATTAGATATACAACATCAGTCTCTCCCGGGTTTCCTATTTCTCCTGCTACATGTTCTCTCTTCGAGAGGAGCCCCTCACTGAAGGGAAAGTCTACTTCAGAAGGGAAGAGCCCTGCATACGCAGAAACTCAAGCCAAGTACGCCAGACACGAGCCGGTAGGCCAGACGTGCACAAACAGTTTTTCAGACCCAAGGAAATGAATCCTAGGTGTACTCCTCGTTCTTCCCAAGTAAAGGTAGAGGAATCACAGAAGCAAACGCTTCCTCGCTGCTCTGTAGGAAGACCCTAGGATAACAGCGTCAACTTGAAACTTGTCAACCTACCTGTGAACCTCACTGACCCCTTGGATGAGCAGCAACTAAAAAACAAACCTGTCATCACTGTTTTACAGCTAATAAAACTGTAAGCATCAGCTCCATGGGAAAGTTTTTTTTCCAAGCTCACACCGCAGCAAACAAGAGACTGAAAGTCACTGTCACTGGCCTGGTGGGATTTCTCCGGACAATTTTCACGACAAATGAAAACAGGGAAGAACATCAGGCAAGAGAAGCCATCCCATGAGTCATAAGGAAAAAAGCCACAGGCAACAAAACAAAGACCATTCCATTAATTTAACTGTGCAAGTGGAATTGTCAACAATACCTTGCTACTTTGACTTGAGGAGGGCTAGTTTTCTTCTACTACTATTGCATTCCTCTCCTACGAGGGAAAAAAATTCCTGCATTCAGGCTTCATCAAGACGATTTCAGGGAGGAAACGTTTTGAAAGAATTCTGAGAATGAAGAGGAGAACCGTGTGTGTGCTTATATCCTACACATGTCAAGGTTCAAGTAGTGAGACCAGTTCACAGCCTGCGTGTCCTGAAAAAAAAAAAAAACCCAGCTTGCAAAGCACCCATTATTTTTCTTCTCTCTACGGTAACTAGATTATCCTATTTGTTCCCTGATAAGGTGTCCTGAAGTTCCTTGCAAAAAGTCCAGCTAAGTTACAAAACAGGCATATTGCGCTCTGGGCAGCGCCAAGCTATTTTCCAGATAAAACTGTTGTGATAAATGCAAAGAACTTCCCTTCTCATCTTCACTTTTATACCATCGGCCAAAGAAAGCGCATTAAAAACCCTTCGATTGAACGGACAAGGTG